TAAGGAGGCGGAGGTTGTAGTGAGCCGAGATCGTACCACTGTATTTCAATCTGGGTGACAGAGCAAGACTCCATCTCAAAACAAACAAATAAACAAAAAAAACAAAAAGGGAAAAATGTTCATTCTCACTGGAGGGATACAACAGACAAACATTGCTTTTTTCCCCCCTGTGATATGCTGAAGACTAAAGAAGCAGGGGGAGAAAAATCTCTGCTTTTATTCATTGGTATTGAAAATGTTATTTACAATTAAAAATAACACATTCTCTCAATCTCTCTCTCTCTTTCTCTCTGTCTGTCTGTCTGTTTTTTTTGACACAGGGTCTCGCTCTATGACTCAGGTTGGAGTGCAGTGGTATGATCTCAGCTCACGGCAGCCTCAAATCCTGGGCTCAAACAATCCTCCCATCTTAGCCTCCTGAGTAGCTGTGACCACAGACATATACCACCATGCCGACTAACTTTTCGTGTGTGTGTAAGGATGAGGTCTTGCCATGTTTCCCAGGCTGGTCTCAAACTCCTGGGCTCAAGGGATCCTCCTGCCTTGGCCTCCCAAAGTGTTGGGATTACAGTTGTGAGTTACGGTGCCCAGCCTGACATTTTATTTTTAATGTAAGGAAAGTGAAGGCTCCGGTTTGAATCTAAGCTTTGCATTGACCTTGTCACTGTGTTTGACCTTGAACAAGTAACTTCCTTCTGGTGCCTCAGTTTCTTTTTCTGTAAAATGGTGTGATGATGGTAATATTCCTTTTATTTTTGGGACAGAGTCTAGCTCTGTCTTCCAGGCAGGAGCTCAGTAGCATGATCTCAACTCACTGAAACCTCCACCTCCTGGGCTCAAGCGATTCTCCTGCCTCAGCTTCCTATGTCTGTAGCTGGGATTAGAGACATGTGCCGTCACACCTGGCTAATATTTGTCTCTTTAGTAGAGATGAGGTTTTACCATATTGGTCCGGCTGGTTTCAAACTCCCGACCTCAAGTGACCCACCTGCCTCGGCCTCCCAAAGTACTGTGATTCCAAGCATTAGCCACTGCGCCTGGCTGATACTACTACTACTTAGAGTCTCTGTGCTGCTTGTGTGAAAGATGAACGTGACTGAAGCATTCAGTGTACTGCCTGGCCAGGAAAAGTGCCCCGAAAGTGTGAGCTCTTCTTACTCTTCCACCAATTCCTGTGCGCAAAACTTCTGGGCAATTCACTCCCACTGACCTTTATCGAGTAGCTGCTGGGGCTGGGCACTGACTGGACCTGGGGATTCAGTGGCCTCTGCTGCCTCCTCTTGCTCTGGATCACCATGGGTCACTGCCCTAATTGTCCTGGCTACGGGCTGGGCTTCCTGACCCTCGGGGGAGCTGTTTGCCTTAAAAGTTGGTAGGTCAGCCCTCCCATATGAAAAATAAAACTTGTGCTTAGAATTGGCAGCAAGAAGCTAATTGTTCTCAGCTCAGCTCCTCTGCTCTTCAGCAATGCTGGCCTCCCCTGCCTCCCCCCAGGGTCCCAATTAGGAGAGTTTTCTAGCCAGCAAGTGCACCAAGCATTCAGCCACCGCTCCCCACCCTGCAAAGCTCTGCTCGGCCTTGGGTTCACTGCCTTCCTGGGAGCGAGCGGGCCAAGGCCAGAGCAAAGCTGGGTCAGATGCAGTTCTGGACCATCCCTCTGTTTGCTTGCAACATTAGCAGAAACTCCTCATCATGATTTCATCCCGGTCCCTTCTTGGCCAGTCTCCCCCGCCTTGGAGAAGGCAGCGCTAAGGCAGCAAATCCTAGAATTCATCCTCGTTGTGGGAAACACAGAGCAGAGGGGTTGCAGGAGCCTTCGGGATGTGTCAGCGGTCACCTCGAGGTCACAAGTTCCCCGGGCTGAAGCTCAGGGCCTGCAGTGCTCGCCGCTTCACTGCTGACCTCCGCTCAAATCTCTGCCTCCCTTCCCGAATCTGGAGGAAGTTGGCGCCATCCTTCCATCTGCCCGACGTTGCTGGGGTCAGGTCCTACCCCTTTAAAACACAGCGTAGGCTGGGAGTGGTGGCTCATGCCTGTAATCTTAGCGCTTTGGGAAGCCAAGGTGGGTGGATCACAAGGTCAGGAGTTCAAGACTAGCCTGGACAATATGGTGAAACACTGTCTCTACTAGAAATACAAAAGTTAGCCAGGCATGGTGGTGGGTGCCTATAGTCCCAGCTTCTTGGGAGGCTGAGGCAGGAGAATCACTTGAACTCGGGAGACAGAGGTTGCAGTGAGCCCAGACTGTGCCATTGCACTTCAGCCTGGGTGACAGAGTGAGACTCCATCTCAAAAAAAAAAAAAAAAAAAAGTGTAGATCCCCCATGCTGTGCTCTGTCTTCAGTCGTCCCTGGGGAGGACAGGCACCGGGCTCATGTGAAATGGGACCAGAGAGCTGGGCCTGCGGTCTGAGGTCTGTATTTCGAGATGGGGTGACTGAAAAGTCCTAGTTTTAGCACAGTTACAAGGAAAGCAAACGGACTGCGGCTACAGTGACTACTGCTGTATTACTATTGTTATCTGTTACGGGCTGAATCGTGCCTGCAAAATCTGTGTAAGTTCTAACCCGCAGCACCCCAGAATGTGACTGTATTTGGAGACAGAATTGGGCCCTAATCCAATGTGACGGGGGTCTCTGTAAGAAGAGGACATTTAGGCTGGGCACAGTGGCTCATGCCTGTAATCCCAGCATTGTAGAAGGCCAAGGAGGGCAGATTACTTGAGGTTGGGAGTTTGAGACCAGCCTGACCAACACAGTGAAACCCTGTCACTACTAAAAATACCAAAAATATTAGCCAGACATGGTAGTACGTGTCTGTAATCCCAGCTACTCAGGAGGCTGAGGAAGGAGAACAGTTTGAACCTGGGAGGTGGAGGTTGCAGTGAGCCGAGACTGTACTTCAGACTGGGTGACAGGATGAGACTCCTTCTCAAAAAAAAAAAAAAAAAAAAAAATCTGCATTTGGACACACACACAGAGGGAAGGCAGACACCTACAAGCTGAGGCGAGAGGCCTCAGAAGAAATAATCCTGCCCACACTGGAATCTCGTACCCTGCTGAACCGTGCACAGATACAAAGCCAGGGTTCCCCAACCCCCATTGACCACCAGGTACCAGTCTGTGGTCTGTTAGGAACCAGGCGGCACAGCAGGCATGAAAGTGACGCTTCATCTGTGCTTCAGCTGACTCCATCCCTTGCATCACCACCTGAGCGTGCGGCCCCCATCGCTCCTATCACCGCCTGAGCTCCGTGCGGCCCCCATTGCTCGCATCACCACCTGAGCTTCGCCTCCGGTCAGTGGCAGCGTTCAGTTCTCACAGGGGCATGAACCCTACTGTGAACTGCACACGCGAGGGATCTAGGTTGGATGATCCTTATCAGAATCTAACGCCTGAGATGTGTCACTGTCGCCTGTCACCCCCAGATGGGACCATCTAGTTGCAGGAAAACAAGCTCAGGGATCCCACTGATTCTACACCGTGGGGAGTAATGTAATTACTTCATTATATGTTACAACGTGATAGTCATAGAAACAAAGTGTACAATAAATGTCATGTACTTGAATCACCCCCAAACCATCTTCCCCACCCAGTTCGTGGAAAAACTGTCTTCTATGAAACTGGTCCCTGGTGCCAAAAAGGTTGTTGCTTTAAGCAATCCAGTCTGATACTTGGTTATAGCAGTCCTAGCAAACACGTGCATTTCTACGACTACTGAAATCACTTTCCAAGTGCTTATAATGTGTTTGTCATTATGCTGAACAAATTATAAATATTATCTCACTTAATCCTCGCACAACTCCAAGGAGCAGGTATTATTATTATCTTCATTTGCAAGCGAGAAAACCGACTTTATTTTAGTTATTCAGAGGTGCGATATGTGCATAGAGTAGCTGCTCAATAAACATTGATTGAAGGACAGAAGCTGAGATGTGTTATAGAATGTGTGCAGGTCACCAGCTAGAGGCAGAGCTGGGACTGTAACCCAAGTCTTTCTGAGTCCCAATCCTGTGCCCTTAACCACACACTACATGGAGTCAAATGCAGCCTGGGATACTTTCGGCATGAGAATGCTGGATTTTTCTCATGGGGCCATGGCTACACCAGGTATTTCTTTCTTTTTTATTTTTATTGTTTGAGATGGAGTTCTGCTCTTCTCGCCCAGGCTGGCCTGCAATGGCTACAATCTCGATTCACTGCAACCTCTGCCTCCCAGGTACAAGTGATTCTCCTGCCTCAGCCTCCCCAGTAGCTGGTATTACAGACACCCACCACCACGCCTGGCTAACTTTTGTATTATTTTTTGAAATGGAGTCTCACTCTGTCACCCAGGCTGGAGTACAGTGGTACGATCTCGGCTCACTGCAACCTCTGCCTCCGGGTTCAAGAGAGTCTCCTGCCTGAGCCTCCCAAGTAGCTGGGACTACAGGCACCTACCACCATGCCCAGCTAATTTTTGTATTTTTAGTACAGATAGGGTTTCACTACATTAAGCAGGCTGGTCTTGAACTCCTAACTTCAGGTGATCCACCCGCCTCAGCCTCCCAAAGTGCTGGGATTACAGGCATGAGTCACCATGCCTGGAGTGATTTTTGTATTTTTAGTAGAGGCAGGGTTCCACTATGTTGGCCAGGCAGGTCTTGAACTACTGACCTCAAGTGATCCACCTGTCTCAGCCTCCCAGAGTGCTGGGATCATAGATGTGAGCCACCGTGCTTGGCCCATACACCAGGTGTCTCTGAGCCCGAAATAACCCAGGTTTTGTGGGTTCTTGCTGAGAAGGACCTTGGCACTGGGTGGCAGTGTCTCCACTTCCTGTGGCCCGCATGTGGCCTTGGGGAAAGCCTGCAGCTCCTTTCCTGTAATGTGTTCCCAGCTTGACTTAAGCCAATGACTTCAGAAACAGAGGGGGATTTCCTCCCGCCCCCTCTGTCACCCCTTCGCCCCTTCCCCAGAGGATCTCAGGGCCTCCTCTTGGGTGAGGAGAGGCCATGTGTACCTTGTAGCCCTGGTTGATGCCGTTGATGAACTGGGGGCTGGGGGCGTTCCAGGTGAAGCGGATGGTCGTGGAATTGGTGGCTTCTGCGTGCACATTACCTGGAGGGACTGTGGGAACTAGAGGAGAGGAGAGAACCGGAGAGAAATGCAGAGATCGGGGGTATAGCCTCTGCCTTGCACCCCCCACCCCACCCCACCTCCTCCCTCGCTGTGTAGACTTAGAGGCCTTCATATTCTCTCTGGATTAGTTTGCGTTAAATAAAACTTGCCTGACCCACCTCACAGGGTGCTGGTAAATAAAAAGGGTGGGGATGAAAAATGCTCTGGCGTGGTTTTCAGGAGGGAAGCTGTTTCATGATCTACCTCACGTGAAATTCACAGAAGGTCCCCATATGCCTGGAGCCCCTGCCTTTCACCATGTCCAAGCCAGCCTCCTCTTCCTCCGTCCTCCCACGCTGTGGGGTAGCTTGGCATGGGGTGGTGATTCCAGCCCCAGAGTGCAATAGCAGGGGGCTCGTGAGAACGGCCACACAGCCAAGGCTCTCAGGCCTGGGCAGGCACAGCACCCAGCAGGCGCAGGATCAGGAGCAGGCAAAGCACCTGCCCCTTTGAGGCCATAGTCCCTTTTCATTTCATTTCATTTTTTTTTTTTTTTTTTTTTTTTTTTTTTTGAGCGAGTCTCACTTTGTCACCCAGGCTGGAGTACAGCGGCATGATCTCAATTCATTGTAGCCTTAACTTCCCCAGGCTCAAGCAATCCTCCTGCCTCGGCCTCCCAAGCAGCTGGGACCACAGGTATGGACCACCACACTGAGACAGTTTTGTTCATTTTTTGTAGAGACAGGGTCTCACTATGTTGCCTAGGTTAGCCTCAAACTCCCGGGCTCAGCCACCAACCTGCCACAGCCTCCTGAGTAGCTGTGCCACTGTAGCACGCCTAGCTAATTTTTTTCAATTTTATGTAGAGATGGGAGTCTCCCTACGTTGCCCAGCCTGGTTTAAAACTCCTGGGCTTGAGTGGGCCTCCGGTCTTGGCCTCCCAAAGTGCTAGGATGACATGCCTGAGCCACCGTGCCTAGTCTGAGGCCACTGTCTCTACTCACCTCCCTGCAGCGTCCACTCCGTGACCTTACTGCTGTAGACGCCCAGCCCAGCGCTGTTATAAGCAGCCACCTCGATCTCGTAGTTGGTCCAAATGATGAGATCCTCCAGCAGCAGGTTGTTCACATCAGCATCCGTGATGTTCTTAAATTGGTAGCCCACGGGCAGCCCGGCCAGGCAGTACCTGAGGGGAAGAGGCGAGGCACAGCGGAGTCAGAGGCAGCTTGCTGGGCTTCGTGCCCAGGAAATTGTCTGGGGCAGCGCTGTCCAACAGGACTTCCCGTGATGGCGCAAGTGTCCTGCATCTGTGCTGTCTGACGCAGTGCCCGCCCACAGAGGCAGGTGCTGAGCACTTGAAATGTGGTTTAGCGTAACCAAGGAAATAAGTTCAAAATTTCTTTTGAGACAGAGTGTCGCTCTGTCACCCATGCTGGAGTGCAGTGGCGTGATCTTGGATCACTGCAACCTCCACCTGCCAGGTTCAAGCAGTTCTGTCTTAGCCTCCTGAATAGCAGGGACTACAGGTGTGGGCCACCATGCCTGGCTAATTTTTTGTATTTTTAGTAGAGACGGGGTTTCACCATTCTGGCCAAGCTAGTCTTGAACTCCTGACCTTGTGATCCACCTGCTTTGGCCTCCCAAAGTGCTGGGATTATAGGCGTGAGATACCATGTCTGGCTATACAGAGTTTTAAAAATGAACATATCAGAAAAAATTTTGGAGATTTGTGACAATTTTTAAAAACAGCCTAGAAATATCAAAAAATTAAGAAAAAGGTATGTCATAAATGCATACAAATGTACATGTTAATCGACTGCTTTGCTATAGATGTGGCTCTGGCCAGCAGTAGGCTATTAGTAGTTAAGTTTTTGCGGAGTCAGAAATCATACGTGGATTGGGCCCGGTGTGGTAGCCCATGCCTATAATCCCAGCACTTTGAGAGACCAGATGGGTGATCACTTGAGGTCAGGAGTCTGAGACCAGCCTGGCCAGCATGGTGAAGTCCCATCTCTACTAAAAATACAAAAATTAGCTGGCAGGCTGGGTGCAGTGGCTCATATCTATAATCCCAGCACTTTGGGAGGCTAAGACAGGTGGATTACTCGAGGTCAGGAGTTCAAGACTAGACTGGCCAAAAAAATGAAACTCTGTCTCTACCAAAAATAAAAAAGAATTAGCTGGATGTGGTGGTACATGTCTGCAGTCCCAGCTACTTGGGAGGCTGAGGCAGGAGGATCACTTGAGCCCAGGAGGTGGAGGTTGCAGTGAGCCGAGATTGCGCCACTACACTCCAGCCTGGGTGACAGAGTAAGACTCCATCTCAAAATAAAATAAAATAAAATAAAATTAGGCATGATAGTGGGTGCCTATAATCCCAGCTACTCAGGAGGCTGAGGCAGAAAAATTGCTCGAACCTGGAAGGCAGAGGCTGCAGTGAGCTGAGATTGAGCCACTGCACTCCAGCCTGGGCAACAGAGTGAGACCCTGTCTCAAAAAAAAAAAAAAATTATACATGGATTATCAACCATGTGGGGGTCGGCACCCCAGCCCCCACATTGTTCAAGGGTCAACTGTAGTTTAAGTAGCCAGAGTTGACTGATGTTTACCTTACTGGATAGCAGAGGTCTAGGGGATGTGTCTGGACTATTTTTTTTTTTTCTTTCTTTTTTTTTTTTTTTTGAGACACAGCCTTGCTCTCTTGCCAGGCTGGAGCACAGTAGTGTAATCTTGGCCCACTGCAACCTCCGCCTCCTGGGTTCAAGAGATTCTTCCGCCTCAGCCTTCCGAGTAGATGGGACTACAGGCACGTGCCACCATGCCTGGCTAATTTTTGTATTTTTAGTAGAGACAGGGTTTCACCATGTGGGTCAGGATGGTTTCGATCTCCTGCCCTTGTGATCTGCCCGCCTTGGCCTCCCGAAGTGTTGGGATTACAGGTGTGAGCCACGGCGCCCGGCAGTCTGGACTATTCTTTTTGGGGGAGAGGATTGCTAACCAGGGGCACTGAGAGGTCCCAGGGCAGATCTCGCAAGTCTCAGCCTCTGAGGGGTCATGGGCAGGAGAGCTGTCTCCTAGAAGGCTGGGCTCACTTTCTTTCTCCCTCTAGGATACAGCCTCCCTCTTCTGACAGTTACTCACCCAGGTGGAATAAAACACCTATTTCTACCTCCACTGGCAAAAAGAACGCATGACACTAAAGAAGTAAAAAAAATTTGGGGTGTCAGACACGAAGGATGGATCAATCACTCATTTGAGAAACACAATGCATATATAATTTGTCATCTAATTATTGGAAAATTAAGGACCTCAAAGTATTCCAACGCATTGTAATGCCCTAAAACACTGCTTCTCTAAACCTCAAGATGAATCAAAATCTCCTAGAAGACTTTTTTTTTTTTTTTTTTTTTTTTTTTTTTTTGAGAGTGAGTCCCACTCTATCACCCAGGCTGGAGTACAGTGGTGTGGTCTTGGCTCACTGCAACCTCCGACTCCCAGTTCAAGTGATTCTCCCGCCTCAGCCTCCTGGGTAGTTGGGACTACATGTGCCCACAATCACACCTAATTTTTTTTAATTTTTAGTAGATATGGAGTTTCACTATGTTGGCCAGGCTGGTCTCGAACTCCTGACCTTGTGATCTGTCCTCCTAGGCCTCTCAAAGTATTGGGATTACAGGCGGGAGCCACCATGCCCGGCCGGAAGACTTTTTTTTGGAAGTGGAGGTTTCTGAGGCCATCCTCAAAGTTCCCAATTTGGTAGGTCTTGGATGAGACTTGAGAATTTGCCTTTCTGACCTGTTCTCAGGTTAGGCTGATGCTGTAGGTGCTGGGAGCACACTTTGAGAACCACCGCTCTTTAGGATTCATGAAAAACCCACAACAAAATCAACCATAAGTGGAGCAGTCAAACCACTCCACTATGAGGGTGTGTACGTGCAGGAGTGAGACAGACTCTAGACTATCAATGAGAGTTCTCAGTAACTTCAAATAACTTATGAATCTGAACTTATGAATACCACATTTTAGTGACTTTTTTTTTTTTTTGAGATGGAGTCTTGCTCTGTTGCCCAGGCTGGAGTGCAGTGGCACGATCTCAGCTCGCTGCAACCTCCGCCTCCCGGGTTCAAGCGAATCTCCTGCCTCAGCCTCCCAAGTAGCTGGGATTACAGGTGCATGTCAACATGCCCGACTAATTTTTGTACTTTTAGTAGAGATGGGGTTTCACCATGTTGGCCAGGCTGGTCTCGAACTCCTGACCTCAGGTGATCCACCAGCCTTAGCTTCTCAAAGTGCTGGGATTACAGGCGTGAGTCACTGCACCTGGCCAATGACCTTTAATGACTCTCATTTAGGTTACTACTATATAACCCCTCAGTCAGATGCAAAGATAAGGTTCTGTATAACTGAGCTTCATCTCCAGTAAGAACGAAACAAAGAACTTTCACTTTTCCATTGATTCTTTGGCCAGCTGGTTTTTCCACTCCTGAGAATATTCGTGGCTTCCCACGGGGCCTGCCCCTTGGATAAGATAGTTACCTCTTTCTTCTCCTGTCTCCCTGTAGGCCTATTCCTACATCAGCCCATATAGGCTCCTCTCTCAACCATTCCTGCTGGTGTTCAGGGGTCTTCCTGCTGGAAGTTCTGCTAGGTGTTTAACCTAAATCCATCCTACCACTGTGAAGGCATTTCCTGCTGCCCGGTCCTTGCGAGACGGCGAAGGGCCTGCCATGAATCTGCACAGTTTTCCAGTCCACTCCTGATCCTCCCCCATGCCTCTCCCCTCGGGTCTGGGCTCCTGTCCCCAGGTTGGTCACCCACCTGATGACGTAGCCCTTGAGAATTCCATTCTGGTGGCTCTCAGGAGGCGGCTGCCACTGGATCATGATGGACTGGTTGGTGCGACCACTGGCGATGACGTTCTGCGGAGGGGCCGTGGGGGGCTCCTCGGGGAGGGAGACCCTGGATCACAAAACACCAGTGCTGTCAGTCTTGGGGTCAAACACAGGAGTTCAGTGGGCTAGGAGAAGGCTGAACCCTGCCCTGCTCTGACCCTGGATAATTCTGTACAACTGCTGTGTGCATTTGGGCAAGTCACCTAACCCCTCTGAGCTTGTTCTATAAAGGAATTATAACAAAGCTCTACTTGCCTATCTTACGAGACTAGCTGAGGCTCAAATGGTACTACATATATAGTCTCTGTGTATATATATATATATGAGTCCTTTAGAAAACTGTTAAGGCCAGATGTCATGGCTCATGCTTGTAATCCCAGCACTTTGGGATGCTGAGGCAAGAGGATCGCTTGAGGGCCAGAGTTCAAGACCAGCCTGGACAACATGGCAAGACCTTGTCTCTACAACAACAATAAAAAAATCCAGGCGTCGTGACTTGCACCTGCAATCCTAAATACTTGGGAGGCTGAGGTGGGAGGATGGCTTGAGCCAGGAGGTTGAGGCTGCAGTGAGCTGTGTTTGCATCACTGCACTCCAGCCAGGGCAACAGAGCGAGACCCTCTCTCAAACATAAATAAATAAATAAAAATGCTAACGTACATATTTTTGGTGCAATTGAGGGATTAAGTTTCAGTTTCCTATTTGTCAAGGAAGCTGCTGTTGGGGCTGAGAAGGTCATGAGTGTCCACGTGTTTTAGAAGCAGAACTGTTGGTCACATCCCAGTGGCCAACTGCCAGTGTCCCTTCACTAGGCCTCCTTTGCTGGCCAGCTGAGCTCCAGGTTGGAGCAGGGCAGGCATGGCGTGTGGTGGAGAGAGCCAAGGGCACCCACCCTGCCTCTGCGAGCCAAGCGTGACAGCATGTCTTTCTCTGGCATAGCTGGGGGATGCTGTGTTCTGCCTAAGTGTATTTATTACATCACAGACACATGTTCATTCCAAACCAAAGTTAATTATTCTTGACGGATGTCTGTCCCTTTTTGTTTGTTTTTATGTTTTTGCTTTTTGAGGGATAGCATTCCTAAGCCTGCTGCTTGCTCCTGTGGTTTTATTTATTTATTTATTTGAGACCGTTTCTCTCTTTCACCCAGGCTGGAGTGCAGTGGCATGACCTCAGTTCACTGCCACTTCCGCCTCCTGGTTCAAGCGATTCTCCTGCCTCAGCCTCAAAAGTAGCTGGGATTGTAGGCGCCTGCCACAGGCATGGCTAATATTTGTATTTTCAGTAGAGACGGGGTTTCGCCACGTTGGCCAGGCTGGTTTTGAACTCCTGATCTCAGGTGATTCACCTGCCTCAGCCTCCCAAAGTGCTAGGATTACAGGCATGAGCCACCGCGCCTGCTTCCATGTTTTTGTAGGGGCTGCGGTAAGGGTGATTTGGCATTTTTTTTGGTGGGAGGACAGGTTTTGCTCTTGTTCCCCAGGCTGGAGTGCAGTGGCACGATCTCGGCTCACTGCAACCTCCATCTCCCAGGTTCAAGTGATTCTCCTGCCTCAGCCTTCCTAGTAGCTGGGATTACAGGCCTGTGCCACCATGCCCGGCTAATTTTTGTATTTTTAGTAGAGATGGGGTTTCACCATGTCGGCCAGGCTGGTCTCGAACTCCTGACCTCAAGGAATCCGCCTCCCCTCGGCCTCCCAAAGTGCTAGGATTACAGTTGTTAGGACTCGGCCTTTTTCCTGGTGACTCAGGGCTGTTGGCGTGAAGGCATGTTAGGAAGGTGAGTCAGTGTGATGCGATGCAGCCGCAGGGCGGGAGAGCTGCAGGGGACCTCCCCTTACACTTTGAGCCTGTCTGTTGTGATTTCGTATCTTCAGATGGGCTGGGGCTGTATCTATTCATTTCTCATCCCCACTCCAGTGTTCCAAACGTGGCATGGCGCACAGTAGCTGCTCAGTAAACAGTGAGTATGTAAACCCTCCTGTAACTGCTCTCCACGCCGGCTGCCACCTGCCACCGCTCCCTCCCGTGGGAGCGTCTTGAACCCAGTGGTACCACCCTAGCACAAGCCAGAGAGACCAAGCTTATTGCAACTGTGGCAAAACCACCATGATTGATTTAAGCCCCGGGTGTCTTTTAAAGAGCCGAGTGCACAGCGTTGCACATGGGCTTTGTATCACACTGTTGTGACCTCTTCCATGACATACTTCTTGGTAGAGGTAGCTGCTTGTTTTACAGAGCTGGAGAGGATAGAATTTTCCTTTTACATAGATGGGTATCACTGTGTGATGTTTTTACATGAAGTACCTGCTGTTTTTATTTAATTTCCATTTTTTTTTCATTTTTTAAAAAAATTATTTTTATGATCTTTCCACATCCCTTCCCAGGTGTCTTTTTTTTTTTTTTTTTTTTTTTTTTTTTTAAAAAAAAAGACAGAGTCTTGCTCCGTCACCCAGGCTGGATCCCAGCTCACTGCAACCTCCGCCTCCTGGGTTCAAGTGATTCTTGTGCCTCAGCCTCTCGAGTAGCTGGAATTACAGGCGCCCACCACCACACCCAGCTAATTTATATATTTTTAGTAGAGACGGGGTTTTGCTATGTTGGCCAGACTGGTTTCGAACTCCTGACCTCAGGTGATCCGCCTGCCTCGGCCTCCCGTCATGCTGGGATTACAGGTGTAACTTACCGTGCCCAGCAATTTTTATCATTTTAAAAAAGCTTTGTGGGAGGCTGGGCATGGTGGCTTACACCTGTAATCCCAGCACTGGGAGGCCAAGGCGGGCGTATCATGAGGTCAAGAAATCAAGACCATCCTGGCCAATGTAGTGAAACCCTATCTCTACTAAAAAATACAAAAATTAGCTGGACGTGGTGGCAGGCACCTATAATCCTAGTTACTCAGGAAGCTGAGGCAGGAGAATCGCTTGAACCCGGGAGGTGGAGGTTGCAGTGAGCCGAGATCGCACCACTGCACTCCAGCCTGGCGACAGAGCAAGACTCCATCTCAAAAAAAAAAAAAAAAACCTTTGTGGGAACCTTAGCAGAACCTGGCGTTAGTGTCGGCTGCAGCCCCTCCCCGAGGGAGTCTTGGCTACACCCCTGCAGAGTGCCCGCTGCCCTCACCTCTCAGTGTCTTTGCTGAATTGTCCTTTCCCCACATCGTTGACGGCACAGAGACGGAACTGGTAGGAGCGTGCAGGAACCAAGCCCTTGACTGTCACTGAGGTAGCTTTGGGGTCCACACTGGGCAGGAGTACAGTCCAGGGGGCATCTGCAGGGACAGTGAGTCGGGGCAGGAGTGGGCATCTTGGCGGGGACAGTGCATGCTTCTTACTCCTCATTTCCAGCAGAGTCCAGCCTCATTGGGGCTGGCAAGACAGAGCCTCCCCAGCTTGGTCCAGGAGCAGCCCACCATGCCATTTTTCTAGGTCCCATTAGCTCACACGACCCGGGGGAGGAGAGGGCGGGGGGTGCCGGAACAAAGGGCGGGCTCATGGGAACTGAGGTGCCTTCGTCTCTCCCCCTGGCCCTGCAAATCGAAGAGCTCCAGGCAAGCTATGTTTAAAATGCCATCCAGCCTGGGCGTGGTGGCTCATGTCTGTAATCCCAGCATTTTGGGAGGCCAATGTGGGCAGATCACCTGAGGTCAGGAGTTCGAGACCAGCCTGACTGACATGGTGAAACCCCGTCTCTACTAAAAATACAGAAATTAGCTGGGTGTGGTGGCACGTGCCTGTAATCCCAGCTACTCTGGAGGCTGAGGCAGGAGAATTGCTTGAACCCGGCAGGTGGAGGTTGTGGTGAGCTAAGATGGCACCATCACGCTCCAGCCTGGGTGACAAGTGTGAAACTCTGTCTCAAAAAAAAAAAAAATAAAAAAATAAATAAATAAATAAAATGCAATTCAAATTATGCCTGCTAATTTGACTTGGGGAATACATACATAAATAAACAATAAATACGTAGTGGCCATTTTCTTTGCAGCTTCTGCTGTGCCAGGCCCTGAGTTCAGCACCTGTTATGTGTCATGTCTTTCAATGGTAACACGCCTGACAGGCAGATGGTGGTGTTTCTTTCAGAGATGAGGAAGCTGAAGCTGCCGGAGGGAGGGATCTGCTCAAACGCCCAGAACTAGGAAGCAGGGGAGCTGGGACCCCAGCCCAGGGCTGCCTCCTGAGTCCACACTTGGGCAGGGGGTGCTGGCGGTGAGCACGGGAACCTTACTGTTCTCCGACATCTCCAGGACGTAGCGGATCAGGGGGCTGTTGCCGTCAAACGGCTTGGCCCACGTCAGGTTGATGGCTCGCCTCTCCACAGTGCTGAGTGTGGCCACCGGGTGCTCGGGCGCGTGGGGCAGTTGCCTGGAGGAGAGAGACGTGTGGTCAGGCGTCCCGTGTGGTCTGTAGGCAGGTGACAGGCACGCTGCGGGTGCAGGTTGTGTGGGTCTTGGACTTCCACAACACCTCTCGATCAGACGTAAAACGTGGCCTTTGTGCCCTCTACCTGGAGATGTTTCTCTCTGGAATCGGACACCCCTGCTAAAGCCATCCTCACACCCCCTGCTCTTGACGGGGGGCCTAACCGGACTGAGAGCAAGGCCTGGAAGGATCCTGGGAATCTGACAAAAGGGACTTGGCTGACTCTGAGCCTGCCAGCTGCTGTTGCCTGCACCTCCCCTGCCTGGGCCTGGGAGGGCTGCCCTTACCTGACTCGCAGGTGGGCACTGCGAGAGTCGTTGCCTCCCGCTGAGATCACCCGGCACGTGTACGTGCCGATGTCCCCCGACCATGTCTGTGAGATGTGCAGGGAGCCGTTTCTGTCCAGGCGGATACGGGGATTGCTCTCCATGCCCAGGGTGGCCCCGTCCTTCTCCCAGACGTACCTAAAAGTAAGAAGAACCCATAAGTATAGAGGGAGAGGAAGGCGCCTCGGGGGTAGACTCCACCTGGAGCTTGTCCTGAGAATTTAGCTCCAAAGCTGGGCAGGGGACAATTCCAGGCAACAGCCGGCCAGGACAGTGGGACCGGGGAGCAGACTGTCGAAGGCTGAGCAGGTTGGAAGCCCGTCACTCCTGCAGGGAGGGTGCCGTGTCCAGGAGAGCGAACGCATTAAGTCAAGTCATCATTAGTTATCACACCTTTGGTTCAGGTCGGGTCAAAGCGTTGCTGCTTCTGGCCAGAAGCGATTGCAAAACAGCCAGTGAAAGGCATTTTTCTGAAGAGGTTAAAAGATTACAGCTGGAAAAAAAAAATTCACATTTCCGCATAGACTACATTTCGGAATTAGTTTTATGAGGGGAATCATTATATCAATGCATCACTGTGACAAATTGACTTGAGTGTCCAAAAAAAATCACTTTAGCTTCGGTCAGTCGGTACAAAGGGGACTTGAGAAATTACACACACACCAGTGCCTGACAAGAAAAAATATCTTCTCTGGAATTGTTCTTGAGGAGATACAACCATTATCATTGTCATCAACAAGCAGGAAGTGCCCACCATGGGGGGCAGGATGGCATGCAGCAACCCCAGGGAAGGCTGCCCTTGGTTCTCAGCGCAAGTGTGAGGAACCGGGTGGTGGCTGAGACGCTTTGCAAGTAGCCCTGGTTAAGTGGGGTACAGGGTGGGGGCCTGGGCTGCTGGCTCCCAGGACTATCTGGGTTTACAGAATGTCAGATAATTAGGAAGAGTGACTCTGTAATATTTTAAACTTAAGTTATAAAGCAGAACCACGGTGGTTCACACTGGTAATCTCAGCACTTCGGGAGGCCGAGGTGGGTAGATCACTTGAGGTCAGGAGTTCAAGACCAGCCTAGGGACAGGCAAAACGTCATCTCTCCTAAAAACACAAACAGTTGCCAGGCATGGGGGCGGGCACCTGTAATCCCAGCTATTCTGAGGCTGAGGCAGGAGAATCGTTTGAATCTGGAAGTGGAGGTTGTAGCGAGCTGAGATCTCCACTGAACTCCAGCCTGGGCGACACAGCAAAACTCTGTCTCAAAAAACCACAAAATCGCCCCACGAAAACCATTAGCAGAACCAACAGAAAAGTGAAAGTACAGGTAAGAAAAAAAAAGAAAGGAAAAGAAAAAGAAAACTCAAACATTTTCCGATAATGGGGAACCATGATTAACATTTGAGTGCTCACATATCTTCTAGACCCTCCTTCCCTGCACGGAAAGTTGGCGCACTGCAGCACCGCTATGTTGGGGCGTCAGACTCTCAGGCCAAATGCTGGCTCTGTCACTTTCCAGCTTTGTGATATTGGGTGAATTAATTTGCTAATTAATTAACTAAGTTTAGACACAGTCTCGCTCTGCTGCCCAGGCTGGAGGGCCGTGATGCAGTCTTGGCTCACTGCAGCCTCCACCTCCCAGGTTCAAGTGATTCTCCTGCCTGAGCCTCCCGAGTTCCTGGGATCACAGGCCTGTGCCACCACACTTGGCTAATTTTTTTTTTTTTTTCATTTTTAGTAGGGACGGAGTTTCGCCGTGTTGACCAGACTGGTCTCAAACTCCTGACCTCAAGTGACCCACCCGCCTCGGCCTCCCAAAGTGCTGGGATTACAGGCTCGAGCCACTATGCCTGGCTAGCCATCCTGTTTTTAAAGCTGCTTTTTGACTCAATAAAAATATCATAAATTCTTTTTGATGTGACATTTCCACACCATCATTGTTTTTATTAGACTCACAATGTTTCAGTACAGTTGCTTTGCAATTTAACCGATCCTTATAGTATTGGACATCCAGTTTAGCCCCTTCTTTTCTGATATCATAGTTAATGCTGTGGTCCTTATGGCAAAATGTTTACAACCATTCCAAATCACTTCCTCAAGGACAAATCATCAGCAGTGAAATTGCTGAGTTCGTTTTGAAGGCTTTTAATACCTATTTAGAAATCAACAACAGCAACTCCCTTCCATTCATCTCTTTATTTAGAAAGGAGTTACCCTTGCCAGCACTCATAGGATGGGCAGAATATTACTCAAAAACAAATTTAGTTGCAGAGAGTAACTCCCATGTAAGAAATAACCTATGGCGAGCAGACAGTCTGCTTCAGAACGTGGTGCTTTAGGAAGCAGAGATCACGGCCCTTGAAGTATTTGTGTCAAAACAATTGAACGTGAATCTAATTAGCAGATACTGAAATTGAATTAGAAATACAGGGGATAGAAGAACAGCTAAACAACACCGTGAGAAAGCAGCCAGCCAAATGCGGAATGTTGAATATTCCATAGCAGGATCAGCAAACTATGACCTGCTGCCTGTTTGTGCAAATAAAGTTTTATTAGAACACAGACATGCCCATCTGTTTACACAGTGTCTGTTTACATATGGCTGCTTTAGCGGTATAAGCAGAGTTGAGGAGTCATGACAAGACAATATGGTTCTCTTAAAGCCTAAAATGTTTACTCTTTGGTCCTTCACAGCAAAGAGTGCTGACCTCTGTCTTCTAAAACCTGGTTTCTCTAACAAATCAATTATGTGAAAACAAAACAAGAAAAAAGACAAAAATAAAAAACAAGTACTTTCAACAGTGCTGGAAGAGCTTGACAACCACATGCAAAAAAAAAAAAAAAAAAGAAAAGAAAAAGAAAGAAACCAGACACACAGACACAGATCTTACACCCTTCACAAAAATTAGCTCAAATTGGATCAGACCTAAATGTAAAATGCAAAGCTATAAAACTCCTAGAAGATAATACAGGAGAACATCTAGATGACCTTGGGTTTGGCAATGACTTTTTAAATACGACACCCAAGGCACAATCCATGAAGGAAAGAACAGATAAGCTGGATTTCACTAAATTAAACATTGCTGCTCTTCCACAGACACTTTCGAGAGAATAAAAAGAGAAGCCACATGCTAGAGGAAAATATTTGTAAACGATATCTCTGATAAAGCGCTGCTATCCAAAATATATGAAGAACTCTTAGAACTCAGCAATAAGAAAACAACCTGATTAAAAAATAGACCTTGATGGCTGCCTCACCAGAGAAGGTACACAGAAGACCAACAGGGAAGTGAAAAGATGCTGCACGTTATACGGCATCGGGGACATGCGAATTAAAACAACACTGAGACATCACAACACAGCTATTAGAATAGCCCAAATCTGGCTGGGCTTGGTGGTTCACGTCTATAATCCTAGCACTTTGGGAGGCTGAGGCAGGTGGATCACCTGAGGTCAGGAGTTCGAGACCAGTCTGGTCAATGTGGTGAATCCCCGTCTAAAAATACAAAATTAGCCGGGTTTGGTGGCAGGCGCCTGTAATCCCAGCTACTCAGGAGGCTGAGGCAGGAGAATCACTTGGACCTGGGAGGTGGAGGTTGCAGTGAGCCGAGATTACACCATTGCACTCCAGCCTGGGTGACAAGAGTGACACTCTGTCTCAAAAGGGGGTGGGGGGAAGAGAAGAACGGCCCAAAATCAGAGCAATGACACCACCAAATGCAGGCAGGGAGAGTGCTCCCTCAGTGCTGGTGGGAACGAAGAAGGATATTGCCACTTTGGAAGACAGTTTGGTGAGTTCCTACGAAACTAAGCATACTCTTACTATTATTTTTCATAATAAAAAAAGTTAAAAAAAGAAAAACAATCCATGAGTTTATTCAATTCAAATAGGATAGAAATTTTCCTAACAATCTGCTGTTATATAACCGGCTATTAAGCAATTTTGGTAAGTGATTTTCAGGGTCCTTTTGGATTTAGGTGATAACAGCCTTCAGGAACTCAAAGATGTGTCAAAGGTTTAGTCACAAGGACATTTGTAGTTCTGCTTTTCTTTCTTTCTTTCCTTCTTTTTTTTTTTTTTTTTTTTTTTTTTTTAAGAGATGGGGTCTCACTATGTTGCCCAGGCTGGACTCAAGTGATCCTCCTGTCTTGGCCTCCCGAAGTGCAAAGATTACAAGCGTGAGCCACCATGCCTGACCAATAGTGATATTTCTTAATATTAGCAAAATTTTAGAAGTAATCCAAATTCCTTCAATAGAGAACTGGTAAACATAAATTACACCATATCCACATAATGGACTGCTGAATAATTATGCAATTAAGTTTACACAAAAATATTTATTTATATGGAAAGAGACTCATAATAGGTTCTTAAGGGAAAATCAGATTAACAAACAGCACGTTTCTAGTTTAAAATGACATCTGGATATTATTAGTGATGATCTCGAATTGAGGGAAACAGATATTTCTACCTTTTCTTTCTCATTTTTAAACTTTTTTGCTCATGAGCATTTTCTGTGTCTTTCTCCCAAAATGGAATGACTTAGTTGTATAATAAGAAAAAAATGAAAATATTTAGTAATATTAATAATGGCTAAAAGTAGATTGATCAGATTTGGTCTAGCTCTGGGCTCAGATCCCATATAGAAGCGCTTTTTTCTAGAACTGTTTTGGAGATTTTCATGCTGGAAGCCCGCACCTGCCCGACCCTCAGCCCTGCACCCGGCTCTGCTCTGAGAACACATTATTACTCAGGCTTCAGCGGCATCACTTTAGTCTGATTTGGTTGTTGAGATCTTTTGTATTAATTTGGTGCAAAAGAAATTGCAGTTTTGGCCATTCCTTTCAAAGGGGAAAACTGCAGTTATGTGAGCACCCACCTCCTGCTGCGTTTCGCAGCTAGAGCAGGGCTTGCAATCCTGGTGACACATTAGAATCACCTGGGGAGCTTTTTAAAAACGCCGAGCCCTGGGTCCCACCCCATTCCCCAGCACTACCTCAAGAAGGATGCAGCAAACCACCATGGCACAAGTATATCTAGTAACAAGCCTTCACGTTCGGCACATGTACCCCAGAACTTAAAGTATAATAAAAAATACATGAATTTTATATATTAAAAAAATTCCGAGGGCTGGGTCCCACCCCACCCCCAAGACATGCCCCTGTCCCCCCAGTCTAAGGAAGACAGGCTGGGGTGGGAGCTACTGGGCATAGTGGCCTTGGGCATAGACTTTGCCAATTTTAGGGGGGAATGAGGGGATGAGTCTTCTCCCCACCCCCATCTTGAAAAGATGGCCCTAGATGGTTAATTCCATTTAAGGTGAGGACCCCCTTCAGTAACCTGGAACAGGGATTTCTGACCTGTAGGTCACTGGGGGAGGAGGGGCGCTAGAGGGTGGGTCTAAGGGTTACATTGTAAGAAACCCCTGAATCTCATTATGCATCAGTAACTGTCTAGAGAACGAATACAATGTATGTTTTCTCAAATATAAGTTGGCACTTTTATAAATAAGTCATCTTTAGAAAAATGACTTTTTATTTATTTATTTATTTATTTTTTTAAGACGGAGTTTCACTCTTGTTACCCAGGCTGGAGTGCAATGGCGCGATCTTGGCTCACCGCAACCTCCGCCTCCTGGGTTCAGGCAATTCTCCTGCCTCAGCCTCCTGAGTAGATAGGATTACAGGCACGCACCACCATGCCCAGCTAATTTTTTGTGTTTTTAGTAGAGACGGGGTTTCACCATGTTGACCAGGATGGTCTCGATCTCTCGACCTCGTGATCTACCCGCCTCGGCCTCCCAAAGTGCTGGGATTACAGGCTTGAGCCACCGTGCCCGGCCTAAAAATGACATTTTTATAAATAAAATCTGATTTAAAGTATACTGAATTGATACATACAGCCTTTTGTTACTACAGAATTTCCCAATTACTGAATGCTAAAAGTGTAGCTACTACGTAATGAATGCGCCCGGGACGCACAGCAGTACTCTACATTGTTTCTCTCCCAGGACCTTTCCTACAGTTTGTATATTAATTTTTAAAGAAAAATCTGTCGCGCTGGGTGCAGTGGCTCAAGCCAGTAATCCCAGCACTTTGGGAGGCCGAGGCTGGTGGATCACGAGGTCAAGAGATCGAGACCATCCTGGTCAACATGGTGAAACCCCGTCTTTACTAAAGATACAAAAAATTAGCTGGGCATGGTGGCGTGTGCCTGTGATCCCAGCTACTCAGGAGGCTGAGGCAGGAGAATTGCCTGAACCCAGGAGGCGGAGGTTGCCGTGAGCCAAGATCCCGCCATTGCATTCCGGCCTGGGTAACAAGAGCGAAATTCCGTCTCAAAAAAAAAAAAAAAAAAAAAAAAAAAGAAAAGAAAAAAAAAGAAAAATCTGCCAAAACCCAGAAATAAGCATATTCTGGAATCTCCGTCAACAATCTTCTAACTATTAACACATCTACGTAAATTTTTGCATTTGTGCTAGTGTCACATGATGACTGCCTGAAGTGGCCAACACTTGATGAGATGTTCCTCAAACTGGGGCCGCCAATGTGTTCTCTAAGAATCGGTGTTGGCCAAAAGCCCAGAGCCCCTAGTGCCAACCTGGAGACTCCCGGAGTCTCATTTAATGTGGCTGTACAGACTGTCACAGGCCCAGTGGCCACCAGATGGCGCCCCAGGACGCAGCTGCCTCCGGCTGGAGGAGAAGGAGGCCATTTCTCCCTGCGCAGGGCGCCGGCCCCTGCCAGCCTCCTTGCCAGTTGCTTTGACAGTGATATTGCTCATAAAATAGAGAAGCAACACGCAGGGAATATTGAGTTCTAAGGAAGCAGCTGCATGTCCCTCCGCATTCTGGAACTCAAGGCGGAGAAGGCAGGCGCTTTCCTCTTGGTTTAAGCTTCCAAAGCCTTGGGGGTGGGGGCAGGGTTTGGTCCAGGGGCTTGGGAGGCTTTTATGCCTTTCTTGGCTGCTTCCTCCCAGCCCGCTTAGCGGCTTCCACAGAGGGACTGAGTTCCCTGGAGGCCAAGTCCCTTGTCAATGTCTCCCCTGGCTTGGCCCTGGCGGATGGTGGGGTGACCTTGGGTTGGATGCTCCATTTCCCTCATGCGCCTTTCTGGGAGGCTCCCCCAGGACTCACCTCCTGCCCCACCCCTATAACTGACCCATGTCCGCCTGCCCAGACCCCTCGGCTGCCCATTCAGAGGCCAGAGGGCCTAAGACTTGGGGTGGGGTGAGGTGAGGGATGTTAGCAGTGGCGTCCAGGTCCAGAGAGGGCAACTCCTTGCCTTCCATGCTTACCAACCCACAAGCCTCCTCTTTCCCCCCACCTCGCCCCCTCCTCCGTTCCTCTTTCCTTCATCTTTCTGCATCTCTCCCACCTTTCCCTCCCACTTTGGAAACTGGCTGAACTCAGTTCAGCGTAGCTCAGTTCCCGGGTGTTCACGTCACATCCCCCACCTCTCAGCCCTGCATTCAGCTCCTCCGTCCAGGAGCAGGTGTGCTCCGCAGCTCTCACCTCCCTGGTGTGGACACTTGCCCAGCAGCACGCTACTGCCAGAGGCTCCCCCTCCCCTCTGGCCTGGAGTCAACAGCGGGGGCCAGTACCTGACGGTCACGCGGGGGTCGTGGGTCACTCCGCACACCATGGAGGCCTGGGTGCCCTTGATGACGCTCTGGTCCTGGGGCGGCTTGGTGATGCGGGTCCGGGCTGAAAGGGACAGCGGAGACAGCATGGTGAGAAGGGGTGTGGGGGCCATGTGGCTGGACTCTGGGTGGATGAAGGCAGACCACGTACCATTGCAAAAGTCCCCAAACGGTTAACAAGAACACTGCGCTCCCTGGTACTTTAATTCTCAAAGCCGCAGCATAGCGGGGGCTCGTGAAATCTTGCTCTCACAAACCATGGGTGGGATGGAGAGACCAAATTCTATGGATAATCAGGACCAGATTTTTAGCATATCAGGGTCTGGCCAGGGTCAAAATAGGGTTTTTCTAGTCTAGTGCTTCACCCACCAGGGCCCCTAGGCTCAGCCCAGACAAGTGGCCCCCAGGTATCTTGGGTGTGGATCCCAAGTTGGAAGTGGCTTGAGAAGTTCTACTACAGCAGGGGTCAGCTAACTACAGGCTGGGGGCCAAATCCAGCAGGTGGCCTTTCTGGCTAAATACACCCTTACTGGAACACAGCTCTGCCCACTGGATGACGTACCGTCTGTGGCTGCTTTCTAGATAAAACGGAAGTTAGTTGAGTAGTTGTGACAGAGACCGTCTGGCCCACAAAGCTTAAAATATTTACGATCTGGCCCTTTCTTGAAAAAATTAGCCAATTTCTGCCCTAAAGTATATGAAGACAACTCTCCTATAACCTCAGTGTTCTCTCAAGCTGGCCAAGCATGGCATCATTGGCAGAACCTTCCTAGTCCCTGGGCTCGGAATCACTTTGTCACTGTCCCTCTGATGAGAAGGGCCCTGGCTGGGACAGACGCTGGGGTGGAGACCCTGGTGGTGTGAGCCTGTGCCCCGTAGCTGTCCCAAGCCTGCAGTGGCTGCAGGGATGTACACATACACACACGGGTGTATAAAGTCCCGTGGCTTGCACACACACACACACACACACACACATGGGTGTATAAAGCCCCGTGACTCTGCACACTCACCCCAAACAACTAGGTCTGCCGAGGCCTCGTCGACCCCCCGAGAGTTGGTTGCCAGGCAGGTGTAGGTCCCCGCGTCGGAGATGTGTGTGGGGCTGATGAGAAGGCTGCCCGATTCCAGGGGTGTGAAGCGAGGCAGCTGCACGGAGCCGCTGGCCAGGATGCGTTCCCCTGAGGGCAAAACACGGTGGGGTCAGCCTGTAGCCTCCCCGCCACCAAGGGCACACCTGTCCCTCCATGGCTGCTCCAGGGCAGCGTGGGCCCTGCAGGCCCCTGGTTCTGGAAATGCTGGAAGATGAGGACAGATGGCAGTGGGGCTGGGGTGGGCGCTGAGACCCGGAGAGCTTTCTGGCTTACGGACGGGCATGAGGTCATAGGGGCTCTGAGCAGGCAGCCCAGAGCCCATGTCCCCCGATGCTCCTGTGCCCGCCACACCGCGTGCCCTTCACCAGAGAAGGGGGCGCAGTTTCCTGATGACGGTGAGCAGCAGACCAGCACAGCCCTCAGAGACAGCTGGCACCTGGGTGGGGGGGCTGGGGGGGAAACAGCTCTGACAAGGTGATGACAGGCATCCTGCGGCAGGATGCTTCTGGAGAGAGTCACCTTCAAGGGAGTGGAGGGAAGTGACGGGAGCCGTCTGGAGTGGGGGTGGGGTAGAGAGGGACACGGTGTCCCCCAGCAGCAGCCCTGACCAGGACGGACCTCCTTCTGCGGGGGACCCAGGGAGCCTGGTGCCCAGCCTGGGAGGGTCCTGGCCAGAGAAAGAGGGGGAGAAAGAGAGGGTGCAGGTGCACCTGCGGAGGGAGCCTGGGAGTGCCGGTCTTTGTGACTATGTCTATTTTAAAGAAAACCCCCCTCTCTGTGTGGAGGAGAATCTCCATGTGTGCACCCGGGGGTCGAGAGTGTCCATTTGTACATGTGCGCAGGCGCAGAGCACTGCTGAGTGTTTTGGTGGGTGTGTTAATTGAGTGGCTACGGTGTTCCAGACCCTGTTCTAGGTCCTGGGAGACAGTAGTGGACAAAACCGATGCCCCTCACTTTGCAGGGAGACAGGCCATGAGCCAGGTGAATGAGCCGGTGACCGAGTGTGTGAGACGGTGGGGAGTAAAGGAGGGCTGGGGGGGGCAGGGCTCCCAGGGAGGGCTGGGGGAGGCAGGGCTCAAGGGGAGGGCTGGGTGCTGGGGCAGGATGAGTTCTTGAAGGAGGCACCTCTGAGCCAGGGCTTGCAGGTGTGAAGGAGCAACTGTGTTGGCACGTGTGTATGCACACGTGTGTGTGTGAGTGTGTGTGTGTGTGCGCGCACACATGGGGAGAGTCATGAAGAGGAGAAGCAGCAGCACACAGGGCAGATGGACTTGGGGATGTGGCTTGGGCTTTGCTGGCCCCGCCGTCTGGAGCCCTCTGAGCTGCCCAGGGTAGGAGGGAGGGCCTCCTTCCTGCAGTGGTGACAGCCACTGCCAGAATAAGATTCATCATCAAGCACCTACCCCTTCCTGGGCTTCCCAGCCTCCCAGGCACAGCGCGGGCCCCTCACGTGCACGCTACAGTCTAGTCTTCACGTCACCCTGGGGTACGTATATTCTTGTCACCAGTTTACAGATGGGGAACCCGAGGCTCAGAGCGAGTTAATAACTCACCCAGGTAGCAGGTCTTGGAAGATGAAGAGCTGGGCCTTGAGCCTGGCAAGGCTGGGATGTGAGGGATGCTCTCTCTCTTTTTTTTTTTTTTGTTTGTGTGAGATGGAGTCTCGCTCTGTTGCCCAGGCTGGAGTGCAATAGCGCCATCTTGGCTCACTGTAACCTCTCCCTCCTAGGTTCAAGCGATTCTCCTATCTCAGTCCACTGAGTAGTTGGGATTACAGGTACCTGCCACAACGCCTGGCTAATTTTTGTATTTTTAGTAGAGATGGGGTTTCAGCACTTTGGGCCAGGCTGGTATTGAACTCCTGACCTCAGGGCAATTTGCCAGCCTCGGCCTCCCAAGGTGCTAGGATTACGGGCATGAGCCACCGCGCCCCGTTGAGATGCTCTCTCGGGTTGCGCAGTGCACAAGTGTGCATGGGAACCCAACCTGGCTGGCTCCAGAGCCTAGTTCTGAAGACTGTCCTCGCCCATCACATGGCCACCCTCTCTGAAGGTCTGTCCCATCTACCTTTCTGCCAAGTGATCGCTGGCCGGGGCGCCCCCGAGGTCTCACACGCTAGCACCACTGACATGCCGTCGATCACCGTGCTGTCCAGGGGGCCTCTGGTGATGTTGGGGGCGATGCCTGCAAACAGAGAAGTGGGGCCTTTTAGCCACATCCTGGAAGCAGTGCCCCAAGCCAGAGGGTCAGGGACCCCTACGCCCACCGAGGGTCAGGCCCTCATCCTCCCCTGCCAGGGTGAGGGGCCCTGCACGAGGAAGGATGTTGGCATCTTGATGGGGCCCCAGTGTTGAAAAGAAGCCCAAGGGGCCATGAGGACCCCCCTATGCAACCTGCCCTGTGGAGGGACCCAGGTGCCACCAGCGCCACCCTGCTTGGATTCTCAGGCCTGCATTTGGGGGAAACTGAAGACCCCAGAGGGCAGGTCACATCCTCCCTGACAAGGTTATTGGGGTTCACGAGCCAAAAATGAAATCAAGGCTCTGGTTTCTTAAAAGAAAAACAGCCGCAGCCAAGAGGGGGACTTCAGTCACTTTCTAAGCAGCCCTGCCCCAGGAGCTCCATTCAGCCTCGGCCACCGTGTAGGGTAGGGACGGTCTCCTGGCTCTGCGCTCCCCTCACCTTATCCCAGCCCTCGAGGAAGGAGCTTGCCAGACGAGCATGGGAACAGAGCTAAGTTCACCCTCACTGGGAAGCCAGAAGCAAGACAGCAGCCCCTTGGTAGCCACCTTTGGGGCACACCCAAAAGCCCCCTGACCCACAGCTGACCCCTGAACATCCCGTGCTGCCCCGAGGAGCGCACCGTGCTCTGCACTTACGCAGAACTTCGCGCTTGTGGGCCACTCACAGTATCATCTCCCCCCGACCCCCCTTTTTTTTGAGACAGGGTCTCACTCTGTCACCCAGGCATGAGTGAAGTGGTGCCATCTTGGCTCACTGCAACCTCTGCCTCCAGGGCTCGAGCAGTCCTCCCACCTCCCAAGTAGCTGGGAGTACAGGTGTGTGCCACCACGCCCGGCTACTTTTTTGTATTTTTGGTAGATGAGGTTTTGCCGTGTTGCTCAGGCTGGTCTCAAACTCCTGGGCTCAAGCAATCCACCCGCTTTGGCCTCCCAAAGTGCTTGGATTACAGGTGTGAGCCACCACGCTCAGCCCCCAGGATCACCTTTGATGGCTAAAACAGCTCCATGAAGTAGCCAGGGCTACTGTGACAATCCCTGACAGAGACTCCAAGGGGAAAGGGACTTGCAAGCAGGAGAACTAAGAGAAAAACACTGGTTTTCTTCTTTGGAAACATGAGCAGGTCCTCTGGGCTAGGGAATGGGGTCGATTCAGCCCTGCCTCGAACCCAGGGACAGCTGACATGCCAGGGCTGGTACCCCTGGTTGGTTTCATAGCTCCTTTTCTCAAAAAACCATGAACCCAACCTGGGCCCCAGGACGTTGGAGAGAACTAGGAACTGGAGATTTCTTCCAGGGCGCTGGACTCAAGGCTGCAGAAGCAGCAGGGGTAACTGGCGTGTGCCCCCAGGGTGCTGGGCAGTTGGCAGATTTTAGGGATCCTGTCTGCAGAATGGAGTGTGCTGTGCTCAAAAGGCCCCTTGGAAGACCTCAGAAGAAAGCCACATCCTGGGAAGAAGGACTCAGGGGCAGGACAGGGGAGGCCTGACTTACTGGTGACAGCCAGGTAGGTGGAAGTTTGCACCTCGCCGGCCGAATTGCGGGCGAAGCATTGGAACATGCCAGTGTCATCGGGCACCAGGCCGCTGATCTGCAGACCCCCGTCGCTGCGCTGCCGGAAGCGGGCCAGCTTCTCCACTTCCACCACTGCCGCGTCCTTGTACCAGCTGATGGAGGGCGGTGGCACACCTGTGGGGGAGACGTGCGCCCATCGTCAACCCACCTCCTGCCTCTTTGCCGCCTCCCAGGGGTGCTTGGGTGGAGGCTGGGCCGGGAAATCTGCCAGGGGCTCCCTGGTGAATCTGGATGTCTAGAACTTTCTCAGGGGTGCCACTTTGGGTCTTGGGATGAGGGGAGGATACTCTTAGAGTGGCAATTCTCGAAGTCTTTGGGATATAGTAAATATCCTGGGATCAGCGCAGCATGGAAATGCTGGATTGGACAAACTAATTTCTTATTTGTTTTATTTTTATTTCTACTTGTGTAGAGATGGGGTCTCACTATGTTGTCCAGGTTGGTCTAGAACTCTTGGTTTCAAGTGTTCCTCCCACTTCAGTCTCCCAAAGTGCTGGGATGACAGGCATGAGCCACTGCACCTGGGCCAATTTCTTATATATTGTTTATTTTTTTAATTTTTGAGATGGAGTCTCGCTCTTGTTGCCCAGGCTGGAGTGCAGTGGTTTGATCTCAGCTCACTGCAACCTCTACCTTCTGGGTTCAAGCGATTCTCCTGCCTCAGCCTCCACAGTAGCTGGGATTGCAGGTATGCACCACCATGCCTGGCTAATTTTGTATTTATAATAGAGATGGGGTTTCTCCATGTTGGTCAGGCTGGTCTTGAACTCTCAACCTCAGGTGATCCACCCTCTTCAGCCTCCCAAAGTGCTGCGATTATAGGCATGAGTCACTGCACCTGGCCTAATTTCTTATTTTTTATTGAAGTACTTAGCAGACACGTGTGTGATCTGGGAACCCCCAAGTGGGGGATGCTTGCTTCCCCAAACCCATGGTGGCCTGTGTTGAAGAGTACATAGAGGATCCAGTATTCTCTGGGGGTGCTTGAAAACCCCCATTCCTGCTTTGCACACAGAGGTGAAAGGAGGCTCCTCTTGCTCTCTCAGCCTAGCATGTGGTTTTCAGAAGTTCCCCCAGCCAGGCCGGGTGAGGTGGCTCACACCTGTAATCTCAGCACTTTGGGAGGCTGAGATGGGTGTATCACTTGAGTTCAGGAGTTCGAGACCAACCTGACCAACATGGTAAACCCTATCTCTACTAAAAATAGAAAGATTAGCCAGGCGTGCTGGTGCATGCCTGTAGTCCCAGCTACTAGGGAGGCTGAGGCAGGAGAATTGCTTGAACCCAGGAGGCAGAGACTGCAGTGAGCCAAGATCGTGCCACTACACTCCAGCCTGGGTGACAGAGCAAGACTCCATATCAACAAAAAAGGAAAAAAAAAAAAAAAAAAAAAAAAAAAAAAAAAAGAAATTCCCCCAGCCCTCCCCTTAGTGTCTCCAGATGTCTGCTCAAAAGTGACCTCCCTGGAAGAGTGGGCCACGCCCCGTCCCAAGGAGTACCCCACGGCCCCGTCCCCTCTAAGCCTGCTTGCCTTCCCTCCCCAGGTCTCCCCAATCCTGACAGCCTGCGATGCTTCATTCTACCACGTGCTCTTTCCGTCGGTCACGTCTCCGAGATCAGGATGTGTCTCATAATCGACAGGATGTCATAATTTAATTGGCTGCCTTTTTTCTTTCTTAGTGGTACATAAAATAATGGGGCATCTTACAACCCATGGCATTTTAGATGAAATGAAATAAGGTATCTTTATTTGTTTATCGGCCTTCCCGTCTGCCTCCTGAGAATGTTACATTCTCCACGAGCAGGGATCTGGCTGTTTGGTTTATTCCGTATCTCCCGACTCCTGAGGACGCTATCGGCACATGGTAAGCCCTCAGAAAATATTTGCTGCCTGGATGGATGGATCTTTGCCTTCCCCTCGTGGAGTCTCAGAAGGGAAGTCATTACTCATACCCCTCCAGTGCAATTCTCACTCCTGCGGAGTCACATTTTGCCCCTTTGCTCAGCGTGTCCCACTGTGCACGCTCTTCTCTCTTTATCATCCCAGATTTCACTCTGGCTGCGGCTGTCTTTTGGTGGAACTGAATCAGAAGGAAGGACGGTGGGGAAGGGGAAAGCAGAAATTCATCAGGAACTCTTCCAAGTAGGGGTTAAGTAGGAATAGCGGAGGGAGCCGGCAGAGGAGAAGGAGCGAAATGGCCCAGGAAACAGGGGGAGCTTATAAAACGCATCTCAGGTGAGGCGCGTCCCGGGGCTGCTGGTTCTGGCATTATGGTAATTTGGCATTGTCTACGGCTCTCAAATTATGGGCAATTTGGGTCTGTCACCTGTCCTGAAATTACGGTAATTTGGGTTCATTTATAATCCTTGAGTTATGGTACCGTAAAGGTTGATTTCCAGCCTGAGATTATGGTAATTTGGCCTGTTTGTTTCCCAGCGCCTGCTCAGCCAGCCAGCCAGACTCCGCCTAGTGACGCGGTCATGAGAAGAAGCTGGGATTTGGAAACATCCATGACACGGACGAGAGAGGCCGAGGGTCTGGGGTCTCTGTCCCCCTCCAACTGTGCTACCTCATTACCTTTGGCCCGACAGGGGATGTCCACCACTTTCTCCATCTCTGCAGTGATGTGTCTTTCTGGCTCCTTGACAAACTGAGGCGGTTCTGTTGGAGGAAGGACCGGGGGGGGATCAGAGCCATGCTCCCTTCATCCAGCCACGGTGTGGGTCACCCTTAAGGAGACCCCTTGCCGTGCTACCCCTACCCCTCAGGGGAGCCCAAGCAGCCCCGCCCTGTCTTACCCAGCACCGAGAGGTAGGCGCCCCGGACCACAGAGGGGACGCTGCTGCTGCGCAGGACAGCCTCACACTCGTAGTAGCCGGCGTCGCTGGCGGTGGGGTTGGGGATGGTGAGCCGACGGTTGTGGTCGCTGATGCCACCTGACAGCAACACCCCGTCCTTCTTCCAAATGATGTGCAGCTTGATCAGGGGCCTGTGGAGGGTAGGGGAAGGCCAGTGTTCAGCCATGAGGACACCCGGAGGCCGGAGAGGCAGGGCTGGGGGTGGCAAGGAGTGTGGGCTCAGGAGCCGGGCTGCCTGGGTTTGCCACCTTCCTGCCACTTTGTGGATGCGAGATCTCGGGCAAGTTCCTACAGGGATCTGGGTCTCAGTTTCCTCTTCTGTAAAGTGGGCGCATCTGTGCCTGCCCAGGCGGTTGTAGCTGAGATGAATGCACTGGTGCCAGTGGAGTGCGTGGAACAGGGCGTGCTGGCGGACTTGGGCTTCGGTCCTGCCTGGGCTCGGCAGCTCAGGCAAAGCAGGAAAGCGGCCTGGCTTGCAGCTCATTTTTCTGGTTTTTCCCTGTGTCCTGTGCCCCGTCCAACCACAACATGGAGGACATGAGGGTGAGGGCAAGCGACAGGAACATGAAATACCCAGAGTTTGTAAAGGGGAAATAAGGACAGGCCAGACAGACAGAAAAGCCCACCCCGCAACTGTGATTGAAGGGCAAAGGTGTGAGTCTGGCCTGGCTTTCCTTGAAACCGACCCCTGCGATCCCCACCCTCCGAGACTTGGTCTGCCCAGGCTCTCCTGTTTAGCACCTGCTGGGTCCCCGAGGGCGGATCTTCCAAAGTGGGCCCCTGCTAGTGCCATGGGGTATTCAGAGGGGCCCCGTGGAAAAGGAGCTCGGTGGCCGCCTACATTTGGGAAACAGCGGCTTGAGTGACAGTCGCTTGAATGACGTCGGGCAGGTTCTTTGTTGCTGGGCTTCTTAGGGCCGTCGCTGCACAGTTGCATCCTGGTGGCCTTGCTCATGTGCTGGGGTTTGCATGTGTGTCTCCTCCAACTTTCACGTGGAAGTGTGATCCCCGATGTTGGAGGTGGGGCCTGGTGGGAGGTGCTGGGTCATGGGGGTGCGTCCCTCGTGACTGGCTTGGTGCTACCCCCTTGGTGATGGAGTGAGTTCTTTTTTTTTTTTTTTTTAGACAGAGTCTTGAAAAATTGTCGCCAGGCACCAGGCTTGAGTGTAGTGGCATGATCTTGGCTTACTGCAACCTCCGCCTCCCAGGTACAAGCGACTCCTCTGCCTCAGCCTCCTGAGTAGCTGAGACTACAGGCGTGCGTCACCACGCCCAGCTAATTTTTGTATTTTAGTAGAGACGGGGTTTCATCATGTTGGCCAGGATGGTCTTGATCTCTTGACCTCGTGATCCGCCCGCCTCAGCCTCCCAAAGTGCTGGGATTACAGGCATGTACCACCATGCCCAGCTAATTTTTGTATTTTAGTAGAGACGGAGTTTCATCATGTTGGCCAGGATGGTCTTGATCTCTTATCCTCGTGATCCGCCCGCCTCAGCCTCCCAAAGTGCTGGGATTACAGGCGTGCACCACCATGCCCAGCTAATTTTTGTATTTTAGTAGAGATGGAGTTTCATCATGTTAGCCAGGATGGTTTTGATCTCTTGACCTCGTGATCCGCCCGCCTCAGCCTCCCAAAGTGCTGGGATTACAGGTGTGAGCCACCGTGACCGGCCCGGAGTGAGTTCTTACTCTGTAGCTCATGTGAGAGCTGGTTATTTAAAGCACCTTAGCTCCTTCTCCCCTCTCTCTTGTGACTTCTCTTGCCATAAGACACACGGGCTCCCCGTTTTCCTTCCGCCGTGATTGGAAGTTCCCTGAGGCCTCCCCAGAAGCAGATGCTGGTGCCATGGTTCATGTACAGCCTGTAGAGCCGTGAGCCAAATAAACCTCTTTTCTTTGCAAATTACTGTGTCTCAGGTATTCCTTTACAGCAATGCAAACGGGCTAATACATCATGCTTGTGAGAAACTTGGGATTAGAAGAGCGTACTTTTAGAAATGCTGCTAAAAACAGTGACAACAGAAAAAGGCTGGACATGGTGGCTCCCATCTGTGATCCCAGCACTTTTGGAGGCTAAGGCAGGAGGATCACTTGAGCCTAGGAGTTTGAGACCAGCCTGGGCAACACAGTGAGACCCCGTCTTAGAAAAAAAAGAAAGAAATGCTGCTACATGACACGCTGTCTTTCTCCAGGGAGGCTCAGGTCAAGGGGACCTTGGGGGGATCATCAGTTTAACCCCCCCAGTCATCCCATTGGCTTAACTTCACAGTGCATTTAGGAAGGGTCGGGTTAGGCTGGGTCAGCATGCTGCCTATGCACCTTCCACCGAGGTTGGTGCTCGGATCATTCCCATTTTACAGATGTGGAGACTAAGGCCCAGAGTGCGGCAGTGAGTACAGGCCTGGGGGGAGGGGGCAGTGGATCTCAACTCAGCTATCATCGAGCTGGGTGACATTGGGCAGGCTGCTTGCCCTCTCTGGGCTCTGGAGTGGTGACACCTCTGCCATGCAGTTGTTTTGGGAGAAAGGAGGTGGTGTGGGCAGGCACTTAGCATGGTGCATAGCATGGAAGGCACTTAGCTGCACATAATGAGACTCAGGGGTCACATAATTGTTTCCTTTGCGGGAGAGGTGAGGGCCACACATGGCTGGGAAGGGCCCTGGTGGCTCTCTTTTTTTTTTTTTTTTTTTATTTGAGACGGAGTTTCGCTCTTGTTGCCCAGGTTGGAGTGCAATGGCGCAATCTCAGCTCACTGTAACCTCCGCCTCCTGGGTTCAGGCAATTCTCCTGCCTCAGCCTCCTGAGTAGCTGGGATTACAGGCACACGCCACCATGCCCAGCTAATTTTTAGTATTTTTAGTAGAGACGGGGTTTCACCATGTTGACCAGGATGGTTTCGATCTCTTGACCTCGTGATCCACCCGCCTCGGCCTCCCAAAGTGCTGGGATTACAGGCTTGAGCCACCGCGCCCGGCTAGCCCTGGTGGCTCTCGACCCCTGATCTGCCCTCCTACAAAGCCTGTACTCTTTTTATTTATTTATTTTTTTTGAGATGGAGTTTTGCTCTTGTCACCCAGGCTGGAGTGCAGTGGTGTGATCTCAGCTCACTGCAACCTCTGCCTCCTGGGTTCAAGTGATTCTCCTGCCTCAGCCTCCCAGGTAGCTGGGATTACAGGCATGTGCCACCACGCCTGGCTAATTTTTATCTTTAGTAGAGACAGGATTTCTCCATGTTGGTCAGGCTGGTCTCGAACTCCCGACCTCAGGTGATCTGTCCGCCTCAGCCTCCCGAAGTGCTGGGATTATAGGCATGAGCCACCGCGCCCGAAGCCTGTACTCTGAACCACCATGGAATCGTCTCCCATGCACACTTCCCTCCTGCACGAGGGCTCTGCTTTGAAAGGCCACCTGCTCCCTCTGGGCTCCTCCAAGAGTTGGAAGTGAGTCCACCCTCCCTCCAGTCCCGTACATCCCAGGCTGACGTCCCCTTCCCTGTCACTTCCACCCAGGGCCTGTTTTTCTCTTCTTGGACTACAGAGAATGAGCTGGCCCGGCCTGCACACAGCAACGCTCTGACAACAGCCAGTGGGTCTCCCTGCATCCCTCTTCTGCCATCCTGAATCCTCAGGTGACGTGGCTTCTGGCTGCTTTCCCTGGAGCCCGCAGTTTGGGGGCAGCAGCTGGAGTTAGGGGTGCGGGAGCGAGGGAAGAGGCACTACCCACCTGGCATTGGCCACACACTCCAAGGTAACCTCCGAGGTCCCGGCCACCACGCTGGTATTTTTCGGTGGGATGATGATGGTGGCTGCGATGGGGTCTGCAGGTCCCCCTACATCTGGGGAGAGAGCAGATGTTAGCTGGGGGCAGAGGTTGGAAATTCTATCCCTGCCTGGCCTCATTAGAGGCTGATGCCCTGATGCTTTACTTGTGTCACCAAGTAGAGCAGGGGGCCATGGGGGCAGCCCCAGAGCAGACCTCCAGACACTGACCCCAGGGACTCCCTGATCCCTCCTCCTCCTCTGTTGATGAGTCACCACACCAGCGTCCAAGGAGAGACATCCTTGACTTTGACGGCCTTCTTCATCCCTCCTGTAAAGCAGCCACACACCCCTCTCCCCACCACCACCCTGTCCTGTTCCATTCCCTTCGAAATCCTTCCCTCTGCCTGGGGTACCTTGTTGGTTTAGTTCTGCATTGTGTACTTTCTCCACCAGAATGCAAACTCTCTGTACTTGGTCAGAGTTACCTCCCCACCCCCCTACACCTCCTGCCAAATTCACGTCCACCCAGCGCCCGTAAATGTGACCTTATTTGGATATAGGATCATTACAGTGCCATTAGTTAAGGTGAGGTCATACTGGATCAGGGTAGGCTCAAGACCCAATAAGACTGGCGTCCTTGTAAGAAGAGGGAAATTGAGACACAGATGCACGGGTTGGAAGCCTCTGTGAAGACAGAGGCAGAATGGAGGGATGTGGCCACGAGCCAAGGAATGCTAAGCATTGCTGGTCACCGCTGGAAGCCAGGAAGAGGCAAGAAAGGAGACTCCTCTAGAATCTTCAGAGAAGTGTGGCCCTGCCGACATCTTGATTTTCAGTCTTCCAGCTTCGGGACTGTGAGAGGCTCAGTTTCTGTTGTGAGCCGCTCAGCTGGTAGTACTTCGTTGCGCAGGCCATAGGAGACTAAAATTCTCCCTGACCAGGAACCTTAGGTCTTTGCTGTGGACAGAACTGTGTCCCCCACCCATTCATATGTTGAGCCTTAACCCCCAATGTGATGGCATTTGGAGGGGTCCCTTGGGAGGTGATTAGGATTAGATGAGGGTCGGGCCTCATGAGGACCAATGAGGGTCCCAGGAAAAAAGAAAAATGTTCTCTTAACATAGTGCAAACTTTAGCTTAGAAAAGCATCTGATACCTTAATTCTCCCATTGAATGAAATTAAAGAGTTAATGAAACTCTCAGAAAGCAAGTTTCCAGGTACTTGTTAGGTGTAGGTATTTCTGTATTTTGAATTCATGTCCTTGTAAGAAGAGGAAGAGCCCAGAGCTCTCTCTGTCTCCAGCATGTGAGGACACGGCAGGAAGGTAGACATATCTGCAAGCTGGGAAGAGAAGCTGACCGTGCCGGCTCCCTGATCAGGGACTTCCAGGCTCCAGGACGGTGGGAGCCCGAACGTCTGCTTCAGAAGCCCCCAGCTGCGGTGCCTTGTTACAGCGCCACGAGCTGACTCGTGCCGTCTCGACGACCACCACGCCTCCAGCACGAAGAAGGATGCCTGGGACACAGTGAGTGCTCAAATACGTGTGTTAAGTCAACACGTGAATGGCACTAGAGTTATCATCCTGCAACTTCCAGGGTCAATGATTGAAATGAACAAGAACGGGCCGGGTGCGGTGGCTCAAGCCTGTAATCCCAGCACTTTGGGAGGCCGAGGCGGGTGGATCACGAGGTCGAGAGATCGAGACCCTCCCGGTCAACATGGTGAAACCCCATCTCTACTAAAAATACAAAAAACTAGCTGGGCGTGGTGGCGCGTGCCTGTAATCCCAGCTACTCAGGAGGCTGAGGCAGGAGAATTGCCTAAACCCAGGAGGCGGAGGTTGCAGTGAGCCGAGATCACGCCATTGCACTCCAGCCTGGGTAACAAGAGCGAAACTCCGTCTCAAAATAAATAAATAAATAAATAAATAAAAGAAAAAAAAAAAAAAAGAAATGAACAAGAACTTTCCATAAGTGGGTTTGTTGGGAAAAAAAAAAAAAAAAAAAAAAAAGAAACCCTCCCAACTCTTTGAATAGAGGTGGTAGCATTTCCTTTTTTTATTTTTTGAGTTTTTTTTTTTTTTTTTAGTAGAGGCCAGGTTTTTTATCTTGGTGGGTGAGTGTAGGCCCAATATTGACAGAAACTCCAATACGCCTGATCCACAGCTCCTGAAAAATACAACCTCTGAGGATTGTTTTCCCCACAACAAATCCATCCAGTTGGCCCCTTTCCAGAAGGTTCTGGAGGTGGTAGGCCACGATGACATGCCGGGGCTCGGGGTGACAGTGACAGGCTGTTCTTTATGGGGCCGGGGGAGGGTGCACAGTGGCCCCCCTGCCACTCTGGGCCACCTTGTCAGCCCGGGCAGGCTTTCCTTCCTTGACTCCAGGCCTTGCTAGAAAAGGCCCAGGAAGAATGGGAATGCAATGTAAAAAATAAAGTAAAATAAAGGGGGAAAGAAAGGAAGCATATAAAGCAAAATAATTGCAACAATATAAAAGCCTCATGTAGGTGCCATAAAGAGCGATCGGATTGAAAGCTGCTGATATAGCTGAATCCATAAAAGTGTGCTCTAAGTTGTTTATGACATGCGGGGGCGCGCAGGTACCACGGCTCAGATTAATGGGGCCCGAGGAGGAGACAGACAGTTACAGCCCCAGCCAGGGCGCCGCGCGGTGCAGCCAGGTAAACAGGGAGCCCTCGAGGAAGGCGAGTTCTGAGTTTAAAAATCCGAGGGCTGCCCCAGGGCTCGGGCTGGCTCGTTGGCTCTGGCAGGAATGGAGGGGAGACTGACCTGTGCTCGGGCTCAGGTGGAAGCCTGCTAGGCACGATGGGGGCTGAGGTGACCAGGGACGCTGGCACAGCGAGAAAGGGTCCCGGGGTGAGGAAGGCCTGGGTTCAAAACCTAGCTCTGCCCCCAGGTGTCCTGGTGACTTTATTCTACTGAATTTTAGTCTTCTCAGGGGCACAATGGGACTGAATGTCCCTACCTCTCAGGGTTGTGTGAATTCAGGCCCCAGCTCAACAAATCTTTCCTGGGTGAATGCTTGACACAGCCACAGAGCAGTGCCTGGCTGTGTTCCAGGCACTGGAGATTCCCCCCTAAGCGAGATGGCTGGGGTCTGTCCTCATTGAGGGCGAGGTCCCAGAGGAAGTTGGATCAATGCTCAAGGGATTAGTGAATGAAAGAGCGCGTGATGGTTGCCGGAAAGGGGCAGCTAAGCTAGCTAGCCTGGGGTTGAGTGCAGAGCAGTTGGAACACAGTAGGTGCTCAGTAAATGACAGCCTCCCCTCCTGGAGAGGTGCCTGCCTGTGCAGGGAAGAGCTCTCCCCACCAGCCCTGGTCCAAGTGATGGACTCAGGCTACAGAGAGGTGAGAGTCACAGGCTCGGGGTTGCATGTTAAGCCCTGCAGGATACCGGGCAAGGCCTCAGGCATTTCATGGGCCGGCTTCCTGGGAGACAGCGGGAGTTGAGTGGGACTCAGGGAAGTGAGTGGAGGAGGGGATTCGAGCATGGGAACTGTGTGAGTGATGGTGTGGACGCAATATGGGGTGGCCCTCAGAGTGCTAGGCTGGATGAGGAGGACAGCCAGAGAGCAGAGGTGGCCGGGCCTGGCCCCACGCTGTCCTTCCCAGGCCACTTCCCTTTGCCTCGAGGAGGAAGTGCTGACTGGTCACAGCGCTTTTCCTGGTGAAGCCTAGATATGTTCTCAGAATCCTTCTTAACACAGTGCAACCAACAGGCCAGAGCTGTGAGAGGAGACCCACCTTCCACTGGGAGAGGTTCGACCAGGGCCAGAGCGCTGGTGATTTATGTCTGGCTCTGGGCTGGAGGTCCGCTCTAGGTGGATACAGTGGAAATGCAGGCAGTGGGATGGTAGGAAAAACCAACATGGTGTAGGGATGGGAAGACACGATGGATGAGGGTTTGGGGACCAAATGCCTAGAGAAGCAGCCTTTAGGAGGAAAAGGGAAGCCCAGGGGGAACTGGTTTTCAGTGGGGAGAGTTTGGCTTTCCTTTTTGAGACAGAGTTTCGCTCTTGTCGCCCAGGCTGGAGTGCAGTGGTGAAATCTCAGGTCACTGCAACCTCTGTCTCTTCTGGGTTCCAGTGATTCTCCTGCCTCAGCCTCCTGAGTAGCTGGGATTACAAGCATGCGCCACCACATCCGGCTAATTTTTTTTTGTATTTTTAGTAGAGACGGGGTTTCACCATATTGGCCAGGCTGGTCTTGAACTCCTGACCTGAAGTGATCTGCCCGCCTTGGCCTCCCAAAGTGCTGAGATTACAGGAGTGAGCCACCGCACCCTGCTGAGTGGGAGGTGGTGGTGGGATGTCTGAATAGAGATGTCCAGAGATGCACAAGGCAGGGGACCCACTGGGGACGGAGACTCACAGCCATTTGCGGGGGTGCAGGCGCGTCAGGAGACAGAGGAGACTGGTGAGATTTGGGGGAGCCAGAGAAACAGAGAGAATGGGAGCAACCTGGGCTGAGAACTAGGCAGGGGCTTGCTCACTTATAGGGAGGAGGAAAAAGGGATGATGCCAGGGAATTTGGGGGAGAGGGAGCATGGGCAGCAGGTGCCGGAAGCTCAGGGAATGGGGGGGTCCCCGAGAGAAAGGCCAGCAGAGCGGAGTGTCCAGAGGGCAGGACAGTTCCTGGAAGCCTGGAGCCGGGGATTCAGACTGAGAATGTGGTGAAGGAGGAGGAGCTGGCAGAATGGGGAAGGTGGCACCTGCTGCCTTTCAGTGGCCAGCAGCCCAGAGGGGAATCTGTTTTCCTTCCGAGCTTGCTCCACGAGGACTGAGCCCGGGAGACCAGTCCAGAGACCAGACCAGCCCAGGCTTCCCAGACTGCCAAGCCTGTGCCATTAACTCCTACATGGCCTCCCTCCCCCAGCAGGTCTCCTCCATGACCAGCCAGCGTCGGGAGGGGACAGCCTAACCAGGTTTAGGTAGCAAACTCATGCTCGTGACAGAAGCTCCAGCAGGGACAGCCCTTAAAGCTGGGAAGGATGGCCTAGGAGACAAGAGTTTTCAGCTTGGAGGCCCCTTGCAATACCCAGCTCGTGCTTAGGAAGATCCTCTAGGACTCCCAGTATGGTCCTTTCCAGCTCCTGCCATGAGCCGGTGGCTGAGAACGGGGTCTTGGTGGGAGAACACTTGAGCTCTCTGCCACGGCTGGGGCTGGGAAGTCAGTGCGGGGTGGTCCTCGAGCAGATTCACTGTAAATGAAGGTCACCCCAGCCCGAGTGGGTTATTTGGGCAAATCACAGGCGAGCCCGAGCAAAGAGGAGGGGTGTCTTCCCCGTGAGCTCCTGTCACAGAGTGGGCTCTTGGGTGGAAGTGTAGCGGGTCCCCCACATGGGGGGGGCACACTGGATCTCACTGCCCCAGACGCTTTGCTTAACAGCCATGACAAGGGACATCTAACATGGTCCGTTCTCCCTGAATCAGCTCATTTAATCCTCCCATCTTTGCCGTAAGCACCAATTTACAGATGGGGAAACTGAGGCTCAGAGACCGTGTGACTCGCCTGGGCCACCTCATTTAATCCTCCCAACTTTGCCACAGGCACCACTTTACAGATGGGGAAACTGAGGCTCAATTTACAGATGGAGAAGTGGTGTGAGCCGCTCCTCTCTCCTGGGATGCCTGTTCTCCAGCGGCCCAGGGGCCAGGGTATCCAGTCCCTGTGATCCAGGCCACACGTGGACCATGAGCTACATGAGCCACACGTGCCTATGAGCGCCTGCAATGTGGCTGGTGCCCCTTTGATTTAATGCGATTTAATTTTAGCTAATTTACATTTAATTAAGAATGGATCCCCAATTCAGTTATTAGAACACTTTTAAGCTTGTGTGGAACAACTCGTGCATACGACTCTACTTTTCAGCTATAAATTTTGTGATATCTAAATACAGATCACGTATTTTGGATGAAAATTTAACATCCAGATTGAGATGTGCTATAAGCGTAAAATACATAAGGATTTCAAAGACTTGGTATGCAAAAAAACCAATGTAAGATATCCCATTAATATTCTTTACGTTGATTGTATGTTAAAAAGATAACACCTTGTTATGTTGGGTTAAGTAAAATAGAGCAATAAAATTAATGTCAAAGATTTCCTTTTACTTGGTGAAAAATGGGGCTACTGGAAAATTTAAAATTTCATGTGTGGTTCAGATTTTGTTTTCTTTTGACAGAGTGCCGCACTGATCTCTGGGTGCGGCGTCACCACCCAAGCATGGGGTTGTCAGGAGCTGTGACAGTCCGGTGAGGTCACCGGGGTTACCCTGAGCAGGGGGCATCTTCTGGGGTCACTGGGCTTCATCTTTTCTTCTCTGGTTCTGAAGAGCATGGGGTCCCTATAAAGAGGTGTAGGAGTCCAGGAGGGAAGGAGGAAGCGGTGCGGAGGGGAGAGCAGAGGGAGGGGTGAGGCCCAGGGGAGGAATGAGGGGAGCTGGTGCTGGTGGTGGGCCCAGCAGCAATTGCTCCTCACAAATTGGCTGGCAGGCAGGCACTGGGGATTTGTGTTAGGGAGAGGAACAGGGTTTTCAAGTGCAGCCACTTGTGGGAAGAGAAATTAGCTAAAAACCAGCTGATTCTGCTCTGAATTCAGGATAAATCAGTGCGTGACGGCAGGGGGCTGAGAGGTGGTGGGGTGGGAGAGGCAGGTGACTGGGTGGGGCGCGGGTGGGTGCAGGGGGTCAGAGGGGCCCTGCCCACCTCCCTGGGGGCAGCTGGAGGGTCGGGATGGTTTGGGATGGATCAGAGAGCGAACGACCCCCAAAGTCAGCCAGGAAGAGTAGCCCAGTTTAATGCCTGTGAAGAAGAGCTGTGTGCTGGAGAAGGGGAACAGAGAGGAAGTCCTGACTCAGGGAAAACTGAGTCACACAGGAGGATGACTTGGACCATGAGACACTCGTGTATCTTTGACATTGCCTCTTACCAAATGACAGGATTCCATGAGACTCCAGGGAATCTGATCACCAGAAGATATCTGGGGAGAAGCATCTGTCTTTGATGACTAAGTTCCCTTCTCTAGAAACAGCGGCCCCAGGGGATGGGCTGGGGTCCAGGCTGCTGGGACTTGACTGAGACCCTGGCTCGACCTCAGAGGCTACACCTTCAGCTGTGATGGTCAGTATCCAGATATACTTGTGACCCTAATGGGTCAGTATCCAGAGTGAAACTCTCCTCCCTGCATTCAGAATCCCTTCTAGGCAGACTGGACACTGATTAGGGGAAGGAGATCCTTGGGATAATGGGAAGCGGTTCCTGCTGAAGTTTGAAAGGCCCTGGAATGGGGATGATAAGGCCTGGCAATGTCCCGAGCCCCCGGGCACTGACAGCAGAGGCTGGCACCAGAAGGAGAGCATAGGAAGGCCCCACGCTGGCCCACACCCTCATCTTGCCACTGGTGGGTGAGTACCATCGTGACCGTGGATGATAAATGAGTCTTGCTTTGAGAGCAGAAGTTGTACAGATGTGGAGGGAGGTGAACATCTGTCTTCCTCAGCTTGTATGACTGCCCAGCTGCTGCTGTTGCAGGAAGCTCCGGCCCGGCCCCACGTACTCTGGGATTTGGGCCTGGGCTGCTCCTGGACTGTCCCACCCCTCCTTCTCTGTCTTGGGAGTGGGGTATGGAGGGAGGGGGTTGTACCGTAGGGAGAACCAGGCTGGAAAGGACATCCCGGCGTCTCATCCCTCCCAAAAAAACTGGCTTCAGTCTCTGCAGGACAAGTGTCTCTTTGCCAAAGCACACTGAGGGAGTCACACTTTTATGTGTGTCTCACTGTGTGGTGAGTTCTAGGGACAGCTTTGTCCCTTTCGCCCAGGGAGCTGCAGGTGTCTGAGGCTGGGGAGAGAGGCACTTTCAGGTGGGATCCTGGGCAGAGAGCCTGTGTTCCCATCAGCAGGGGCCACCTGGAGCCCAATATAGATAGCATTTTTTATGAGACAGCCAAGTAGAGGCAGTTAGTATATTTCTGTTAAAAACAAGCTTCAGTCCTGCAATCACCCCACATGCCCTCCTGGTCAGCATCTGGGCCCCGAAGGTGGCTGCAACTCACGTATGCACGCCCTCTTCCTCTGCCCCACCCCTCCCTGGGTCCCCGGTAGCCCTGCTAACAGTCATGCTAGCATCCTCTCTAGCGACGAAGGATCTCAGGCAGGTCATGGCGATGGGCTCTAGCACTCAGCTGCTCCCAGCGCTGCCGTGCCTCCTCCTCCTTGGGAAGCCGCCCCGCTGCTGTCCTCCAGATTCCCTGCCCCCCCTCCTCTGCCACTCCATCTTCCCAATGATCCCCTGGAGCACCATTGCCAAGATTTAATGACCCGCTGCGATCGGTCCTGGCCCTGCGCATACTTACTCTCCACGGCGAGCGTGATGGGCTGGCTGGTCTTGTTATCCCCGTTCTTGTCATTAACAGCCTGCACGTAGTAGCGACCTGCGTCGGGAGCCACCGTTGACAGGATGACAAGGGTGTTCTCCAGCGTGATGGCTCTGGGAAGAGAGAAAGGATTCCTCTGACAGGGGCCTGAGGGGCTCTGAACCTCCGGGGAGTGGCAGTAGGAAAGGGCAGCCCGACCGTACCTCCCTGTCCTCAGCCTCCCAGAGCCCCTCCTGTCACCCATCTTTCCAACCTCTTACTGCCTACATCTCGCCATATTTACTTTGCAGATAATCCCAAACATGGTGCTGACGCTGTCAATCAGACCCAGAGACAGCATGTTCATGGTCAAGAATACCCAAAGGAAGCTTCCCTGGCCCCTACCCGAAGGCTGGGTGAGGGGCTTCCAGGTACCCCCTGGGAATTCTGCCCTTTCCCGGGTCACAGCCTCCATGGCTGTGTGTGGTTATTCCTGCATCATCAGCATCCAGACGCTGAAGAAATGTTCTCAGCATGGATAAGTGAATGACGATGAAAGAATAAGCAAATGACAAATGAATGCTAATGAGTTTAGAAATGAGCGGGGCTATTCCAGAATCCATGGCTTGACTCGAATCCTAAATGTGTTCAGGGCTGATTGACTCAAAGGCCACAGGTCACCTGCAACATCAACTTCTGGGGGTCCTGTCTCCCTCTAGTCCCCTTTCTGGGTATCAGTTTCTACTTCTTTTTTTCTTTTCTTTTCTTTTCTTTTTTTTTTTTTTAGATAGAATTTCACTCTTGTCTTCCAGGCTGGAGTGCAATGTCGTGACCTTGGCTCACTGCAACCTCTGCCTCCCAGGTTCAAGTGATTCTCCTGCCTCAGCCTACTGAGTAGCTGGGACTTCAGGTGCATGCCACCACACCCAGCTAATTCTTATATTTGTAGTAGAAACAGGGTTTTGCTATGTTGGCCAGGCTGGTCTCGAACTCCTGACATCAGGTGATCCGCCCACCTTGGCCTCGCAAAGTGTTGGGATTACAGGCGTGAGCCACTGCCCCCGGCTAGAGTTTCTACCTCTTTGAAGCTCATAACCAAGAGTAGGATGAGTTGGACTGGTTAGGAGGGAAAAGGAGGCTGGTGTGCTTTGGGGTACGGTGACGGGCTGTTTGCCGCCCTCCAGTTTCCTTTGCTGGGATTGCGTCTTGTAGCCCCTTGGCAGGCCAGGTCTTCAGGCAGGGAAAATGGGCTTGTCCAGGCAGGAAGCTGGAGGCCCCATGGAATGTGGGTGCCATGGAGCCAGGACTGCCACCCACACCGGCTCGGCCTCCCTCTACCCATTCTCCCCATGACAAACAAAGCCATTAGTTTGTCAAGTATATCTCTGGATTTTAATGTGATGTGCCTGAGACAGCTGTTAAACATCCTTAATGTTAGTTTAACAAGGACAAACCCAGTTGATATCTTTTCAAATTTTCCCATTAGGTGGATGTTACAGAGTTTTAAACAGGCTCTCAAATCAACCTCCCCAGGAACGCTTCTCCAGCCCCGCTGTCTCCCAGCCTGGCTGCGCTGGTTTTTGACCCCTCTCTCCTGGCTTTGGTGCTTCACATGCTGAGAATCACACCCTTGGCGTAGCTCTGGGAAGCAGGAAGCCAAGCCCTCCTGCCCGCAATTCCTGGGTACCCTAATGATGTCCCCCTTTTTTTTTTTTTCCTGGAGATCTCTTTTAACCTCTAGCTAATGAGGCACTAGGAGGCGGGACCAAAGCCAGGCAAAAATATTTCAAAAGCACAAAATAAGACAGGGATAGGGGTCATTTTCCCACCTGGGAGCTTCCTGCAGGGGCTTGTCCTTTGGTGTGGCATGTGAGGGTGGCTGAGGGTTGGAGGAAGGGTCCTCCCCGTGTAGGGCTCTGGTTGGGGCAGGGGCTGAGCTCTAGAATGAAGGGCATGCAGCTTCCTCCTTGCTGGGCCTCAGTTTCCTCTTCTGTGCAAGTGTGGAACAGGTGTTCTGTAGGATTTCTTCTAGCCCAGAGGCTGAGGGATTCTGATTCCTGTTGATGCTTCGGTTCTTTCCTCATTAGGTCCACGAGAGGCCTGCAACCCTCACCTGTCTCTTCCCACACCGCAGACCGGCACACGGCCAGCTTCAGGGCTGAGGACTCTCATGAGCACCACGCACTGGGACCATGCAGGCCCAGCTACTCCAGCCATGGCACATCCATGACTGCCACAGAGGCAGGTTCAAGGAAGCCTCCAGTGGGCACACCGGGCTCAGCTCGGCCCACTTTCCAGGTCACCCACCCTCTCAGGACTCTTTCGGTCTCCAAGAAGGCTCCCACCTCCAGTTTCTTCTCTTTCTTGACCAGAAAGGCTCCTTTTACTGTATTTTGTCTGTTATCATGATCAGCCTTTCTGGGTCAGTGGTTCTCAACCAGGGCTGACTTTGCCCTCCACGGATGACAATGTCTGGGCAACTTTTAGTTGCCAGCTCTGGGAGTGCTACTAACATCCCGGTCAAGGATGGGATGTCGTTAAGGACGCATCCTACAATGCACAGGAAAGCCCTCACAGGGATGAGGGGTCGGAGCCCAGATGTCAAGAGTGCCATGCCTGACACAGTCTGTCCTAGGTAGCATGCATATCAAGATGGCAGAGATGGCCGCTGCCCACCTAGTCTCAGGCTCCCCTTGTGTCATGGACTGCAGTGGCTGGAAAGGCAGAGACAGGCTTTGCATCTCTGCTTGCATCCAGGTGGGGCAGTGAGGCTGAACTAGGGGGATATGGAGGAAGGGAGGAACACCGCTGCTAGGCTTGGACCAGCAGCACCTCCTACGAAATCCTCATGTCCGCCCCCTTTCTCTCTGGCAGAGCAGGATAACTTGGAAGGCTGTGTGCTGATGAAGGCAAAGCCCATGTCAGCAGGGCCCCTGAATGACTATGTGGAAGAGAGCATGCCTCTCATCATGGTAGGACTTTATAGGGGGATGGGCACGGTGGCTCATGCCTGTAATCCTGGCACTTTGGGAGGCTGAGGTGCTAGATCACCTGAGGTCAGGAGTTCAAGACCAGCCTGACCAACATGGTGAAACCCCATGTCTACTAAAAACACAAAATTAGCCTGGTGATGCTGCATGCCTGTAATCCCAGCTACTGGAGGCTGTGGCAGGAGAATTGCTTGAACCCAGGAGGCAGAGGTTGCAGTGAGCTGAGATCACGTCATTGCACTCCAGCCTGGGCAACAAGAGTGAAACTCTGCCACAAAAAAGCCAAAACCAAAACCAAAACAAAACAATGGGCAAGAAATCTACTTCTATGGTGTGACGTCACTGAGATGTGGGGCTCTATCTGTGGTTGCAGCTGGCACTGCTTTAACTGGTGCCTGGAGGGAAGCACCCTGGACTGGGACCCGGGGCCAGAGTTCAAGTCTTAAACGCAGAGTGGAGCAGGAGGCCGAGATGCCTTTTGACTTGCCCTCTCTGCCGCCCCCAGCAGGCAGTGAAGGAAGGTCCCTGGGCTTGCGCTCTCTCCAGAGTAGCCATCTGCTTGACAGGCATTCCTGGGATGATGCTGTACTGTGCTGTACCGTCCTGGGTGCTCTTCCTGGCACCCAGCAGGGTTTCTAACCTGTGGCACTGCACCTCAGAAGCAACCCACGCAGAAAGAAGCTAGAGGAAGAATTCTTGGAGGACACAGACAGCAGAACTCAACTCTAGTGCAGGGGCTGGATTATATTTTTCAGCCACACCCCCTGGTTTCAATAGAGGCTTTTGCTATGGCTCTGACTGGCCCAGCCCTGTGCTCCCTTCCACCCATTGCTTCTACCAAGCCAGGCCCTTTTTCTCAGCTCCCTGGGGCCCCCACTGATAATTTAATTATGAATGAAATAAATTATCCTAGAATGTGTCTAAAGCCCCCAGCATGCATCTTTATGAGGAATCTTGTCTCCTTTTCAACACTGAGCACCGGGGCATGGGTGAGGTGGTGCTAATCCTTGTTCCTGCCCCACCAGTGAGAGCAGCTCTCTGTAGATAGCGGCGCTTTCTGTGCCCTGCACACCCCTCTGGCAGATAGCGCTCATCAGATATGTATCTCTGACACACAGACACGAGGGAATTTGCTGCCAGGGACCCTTTTTGTTCACTTATGAATATTAATTTGCTGTAATTGCCAGGATAAAATCACCACGGTGTTCTATCATGTAGTTGGTAGGAATGCTGTGGTAGTGTGCAGGGGCTGGGGGCATGTGTGACCAAGGAGGTGTGCGTGTGTGCACAGGCCAGGGTGTTCTGTCCTGATGCCACTGTGGGAATGAAAAGAAGATGAGGGCAGAGGCTGGGAGTGAGAAAAGGAGGTGGAGAGGTGTTAGGAAAGGGGTGACGGGAGTAGGTTTCATCCCCCACAACAAATCTAGTAGGAAAATGCCAGCACACCCCTCACACAGCCATGGCAGACATTGCTAATCAATTGTAATATTCAATCTCATGAGTCCGGATGGGACCTCAGAATCTTTCTTAACACAGCGTTCCACACAGCTGCTACCAATTGATTGGCTCCCAATAGTCCATGGGAAATAACCTCAGAAAGGGAGCTGGGATGAGGCTGGGGCTTCTCTATGTGTCCCAACACCTGTGTGGAGAGCGTTCCCCTTCCACAGCATAATCTCAACATCCATGCTAAGAACCATTCTCTGCTGGTTTTATGGAACATAAGTTAGGCCTAAGAGGGCACACTCTGGCTCACACAGCATGAGCCCCCTGTTAACCTGGGGTGCCACTCCAATTCTTCACCCTGCTCTGTATCCAAACTCTTTGTCCTGTGACTTCGCAGGTTTGATTGCTCAAGAAACAGAGTCAATTTTCCTGCATCTTGATTTTGAGTTCTGCCATGCTCTTGCTTTGGCCCATGCGATATTAGCAGAAGCTGGAAAAGTATATGTTCCTGCTTCCTCCCCTGCTCCTCTGCAATTGCCAGGAACACGTGCTAGGGCTGGGAGGCAGGAGGATGCATGTGCAGCACAGGCAAGTCACCCCAGTCACCCAAACAAGTCAGCCAGTCCCAGACAAGTGAGAGAGCCTAGCCAAGGCCAGAAGAACTGCCCGGCTAAGCCCAGCCTAAATCACAGGACTGTAGACTCACAAGAAACAGAAATGTGTATTGTGTATTGTTCTAAGCCACGGAGCGGTTCATTCATTTATTTCTTTATTTTTGAGATGAAGTCTCGCTCTTGTTGCCTTGCCCAGGCTGGAGTGCAGTGGTGTGATATTGACTCACTGTAGCCTCTGCCTCCTGTGTTCAGCGATTCTCCTGTCTCAGACTCCTGAGTAGCTGGGACTCCAGGTGTGCGCCACCATGCCTGGCTAATTTTGTGTTTTTAATAGAGACAAGATTTCCCCAGGTTGGCCAGGCTGGTCTCGAACTCCTGACCTCAGGTGATCTTGCCACCTTGGGCTCTCAAAATGCTGGGATTACAGGCATGAGCCTTGGTGCCTGGCCCACTGAGTTGTTTCGTTACGCAGCGTATCTGTGGCTGTGGATAGCTGATACATACTAGGATGGTGGTTCTTAACCCTGGCTTCACATTAGAACCACCTGGGGAGCTTTTATAAATTCTGATGCTCAAATTCCATCCCATTTCAATTAAGTCAGAGAATCTTAGGATAGAAACCAAGGATCAATACACAGTCATGTACTGCATAACATTTCAGTCAAAACCAGACCACATATATGATGCTGGTCCCATAAGATTATAATGAAACTGCTCTATACAGGTGGGCCATTAAAAAAATCTTTTATACCATATTTTTATGGTACCTTTACTATATTTAGATATGTTTAGATACACGAATACGTACCATTGTGTTACAATTGCCTACAGTACAGTAACAGGCTGTACGGGTCTATAACCCAGGGGCAGCTGACTACACCATACAGCCTATATGTCGTAGGTGTGTAGTAGTCTGCACCATCTAGGTTTGTGTTCACACAACACAGAAATTGCCTAATGACACATTTCTCAGAATGTATCTCTGTCATCACGTGACACATGACTGTATCCTTAAATTCCCAAATGATTTCAACAGGTAGCTAGGGTGAGATACTCCGCAGGACTTGTTCCCACAAACGCAATCTTTTCATTGTGTCTGTGTGTCTGTTCTCAGGCACTTTTCACATAAGACAAGAATGAAAGAACCTGACTCTGGAGTTGGCAGGGCTGGATGCAAATTCACCATTTACCAGCGGTGTGAGATTTGGCAAAGTAGTTAAACTTTTGGGAACTTCACTGGATTGTCTGTAAAATGGGGGAGAAACCCAGCATCTCGCTGGGTGGTTGTGAGGGTCATTCATTCAGCAATGCCTCCTTTCAGCAGGTGCTCCGGGGCCAGGAAGGAGAATGAGATTGAGAGCATGTTCTTCCTCACAGAGCCTGGCTGTCTGGGAGGAGAGGGGATGTGTTGTGTGCTTAGCTCAGTCCTCAGCACATAGCAGCCACTCAATAAACGGCAGCTGCTGTGATGATGATGGTGATCTTGTCATTACTATTATTACTTGAGATGGAGTCTGGTTCTGTCTGGAGGCTGGAGGCTGGAATGCAGTGGCCTGATCTTGGTTCACTACAACCTCCGACTCCCAGGTTCAAGCGATTGTCCTGCCTCAGCCTCCCGAGAAGCTGGGATTATAGAGTCTGCCACAGTGCCCAGCTAAATTTTGTATTTTTAGTAGAGACAGGGTTTTGCCATGTTGCGGAAGTTGGTATCAACTCCTAACTTCAAGTGATCAGCCCACCTCAGCCTCCCTAAGTGCTGGGGTTACAGGCGTGAGCCACCGCATCCGGCCAGTGATGGTGATATTATTATTATTGTCATAGTTACTATGCTTCCCCTAACTAGACTTAATGTTCTCCAAAGGCAGAAACTGTCCATCTATTCCTCCACTCTCTATAGAGACCAGGACAGGCTCGGTCCTCTGTACACGCAGCCTGAGTAGATCAGAAGGTGGTCTTCTGGAAGCAGGGGAGAGCTGGATTGGAAAGAGGAAATCCCTGGCTGGCTCCAGACGCTCGGGAGGCTCAGGAGGGTGGGGAGATGGGTGTATTTCGGGAGGAAATGCTTTGCTGCTTGCCTTTTGCGGAGGTGGGGGGTGTTGGCTTCATGGCTCCTGCCCACAGGCTGGGATGCCCCAGCCAACCCCCGGGGACACAGAGACACCCTTGTGAACACTGAGAGGTCTATGTGTTTCTCTCCCTGGGGCTGCCCTGGCCATACCTCCGCCTTGCAGCCAAGACACACACAGCCCTCACACACCAGTTAAACCCCGCCAACAGACACGTCCAGGGCTGCCCGGCTGCCCAGGAGACGCCAGCCTCTCCAATGTCCCCTGGCACTGCTGGCCTGAGTCCTGGGCCTGTAACCACGGTGACAGTGCCTTCGTATGTGCCTGTTTGGGTTTTTTAAGTACTCTGAAAGGCAGATTTATGCTCCAGCTGACAGTGGAGGCAACACCCTGGGATTCCCCAGGAAGGGGACCGAGCGTGGGTTTCAATGGTCCCAAGTCCCTGCATGTGCATCCCAAGACAGCCCCTGGGAGGTCCCCTCCTTGGCTGTGTCCCAGAAGAGCTGAAAGGAGCTTCTGCACAAAGGCCCTCCTCCCATTCAGGAAACATCTTCTGGCCTCAAACCTCCCTCCCCAGGGCCCCCTCCCTTCCCGTCCCCCCAGAGCGGTGCACTCACATGCGGCTGCTGGGTGGGATCTTGCGGCCATCCCGGAACCAGGTCACCTGCGGCTGGGGAAAGCTGGCGATGCGTGGGGCGCGGATGACAGCTGCTTCTCCGTGGGAGACGCTCTGGTGCTTCTCCCCCTCTTCAAAGCTCCCCATGTCTGCAGCCGGGACAACGGGAGTAGAATGAGGGACCGGAGGTCAGCCTCAGAGACTGCCCAGCTTGCCGGTTGGAAGTGGTGGCCATGGACAGAAAATTCAGGGCAGACAGGGTGACCATGGGGAAGGAAGACACCCTGCTTGGGCCACCCACATCACCTTGCTGCCCCGTTCTCCGCCTCATCACTGGCACCCTGCCTTCTGTTACTGTCTCCATTCATAACCCTATATCCTTCCATCAGCCAACTCATTCAGCCGCCATGAGAGGTTGGTCATCGTTTCACAAGTTTTACAATGGAAAAATCTGCTCCAATGGGCTCAGAGAGGTTAGTTGACTTGTCCAAGGTCACCTAGCTAGGAAGAGACAGTCAGAATTTGAACTTGGACCTCAAACCCTGGAGTCAGGCTGCACAGCTTCTCCTCCCCTCCCTACAGCGTGGCTTTCAGCACAGCGGGGGTTCCAGCCGGAGGTGAAGGGCGGGTTCCTGTGCCCCTTCAGGGAGAGAAGGGTGGGCATGCAGAGAGAATGGGGTCTTAGATGCTTGCAAACGGGCGCAGACAGCGTTTCCCTCCTGCGCCTTGGGTGTGTAGTGTGTGAGTTTGTGTGTATGTGTGAACATAAACACCATATTGCTCTTTTATAACATGCCACCCCCTTGGCAGATAAGGAGGGGAACATTTATCCTGGCTCTGTCAGCCAGGAGGGAAGCGGAGAGCAGAGGAGATGTGGAGAGGAGACTCTCCAGCCTGCCTGCCGGGGCGGGACGAGGCGGTGGGGAGACTAATTCCCACACAGAGGCTTGGAGATAAGGTTTGGGAAGGGGTATTTGTGCATCTACCACGCCCTCGAAAATTAATGGACATCCTCACTACTTCCAGTGTGGCCCATGGGCAGCTGCCTGGGCACCACACCTGGGCACCTGTCAGAGATGCAGCGTCTCAGGCCCCCCCCAAGACCTGCTGGATCAGAAGCAGCATTTCAGCAAGACGCCTGGCAAAGTGTTCAACTGTGCGGAGCCTATGATATGTCCCAAACTTGACGGCGTGTAGAGTTAAAAAATGCTGATGGGAACCTCACCCCCAAAGCTTCTGATTTCACTGGTGAGGAGTCTGGGAATGCGAGACCTCCCACAGCACCCTGTTCTCTTTTCTTTTCTTTTTTGAGATGAAGTCTCATTCTGTCACCAGGCTGGAGTGCAATGGTGTGATCTTGGCTCACGGCAACCTCCGCCTCCCAGGTTTGAGTGATTCTCCTGCCTCAGCCTCCTGAGTAGCTGAGATTACAAGGACCTGCCACCACACCTGGCAAATTCTTGTATTTGTAGTAGAGATGGGGTTTCACCATGTTGGTCAGGCTGGTCTCGAACTTCTGATTTCAAGTGATCTGCCTGTCTCAGCTTCTCAAAGTGCTGGGATTATAGGTGTGAGCCACTGCGCCCGGCCTACATCACCCCATTTTCTAAGCCATCGCTAGAATGTGCGTTGCCCTGTGCAGAGAATTCCTATGCACATAAAGGTTTCACACTGCCCACTTACAGCCTTTGTTTCCCCATCGCCAAACAGACCCCTTCTTAACCAAAGGGACTGCATCCTAAGCTGCCCGGGCCCCTCCTACGGCATCAGCTGTTATTTCTCAGCTCCTCTAAGACCACTGACTCTTCTTCCTTTCCCTCCACCAGGAGTTCTCCAACCTGGCTGTACCTTAGAATACTTGAGGAGCCTTTAATATTCCCAGAGATGAGAATCTTTTGGGGTGTGTGGAACCCTGACCTCAGTATTTCTTTATTATTATTATTTTAGAGACAAGGTCTTGCTGTATCATTCAGGCTGGAGTACAGTGGAGTGATCATGGCTCACTGCAGCCTTGAACTCTCGGGCTCGAGCAATCCTCCCACTGTAGCCTCCTTAATAGCTGGGACTACAGGTGTGTACCACCACGCCTGGATAATTTTATTTTTAATAGAAACAAGGTCTTGCTGTGTTGCCTAGGCTGGTGGGGCTCCCGAAGTGTTGGAATTACAGGTGTGAGCCACTGAGCCCAGACCGGACCTGAGTCTTTCTAAAGCTGCTCAGGCAGTTCCGACACGAGCCAAAGCTGAGTTGGGTGGCTCTTAGAATCTCCTGAGACTTGGCAAACTCACAAAGGTGGTCCCCACTCTCTCTCCCTCCCTCCCAGGCATCCCCCGGGGCATGGGAAGGCCCTGCTTCAATCCCTCTGGCTCTCTGAGCACCTGATTCACTCTCTTGGTTGGCAGATTCTGCCGAACAATTGTTTGAGAATGCGGGCCTACAGTTCGTTTTCCAAACCCTAGTCTTGATTCTCCTTCCAGCCACGCTGACCCCGTGGTGGCTTCACCTGACCTAACGGTTTGACTACAATCTCCCCGCAAATGACGCTTGCGCCTTCTGCTCTGGCTCTGCCCTGAGCTCTGAGATTCAATTTCCAACAGTCTGTTGGGCATTTCTCCGAGGAAGGCCTTCGGTCACCTCCTTGCCAAGCTCTCCTTACATCCTTAGTTCTGTTAAAATCTGCCTTCATGCCCTGCAAACCCAATTACCTAAGCTCAAACGCCTGGAGGCTTTGGTGGTGTTTCCCTTCCCTGCCCCCACTGTCTTTCAGCTCTTCCTCTGGGACGTTACCATTTTATACCAAGAACCCTCTGGTCCATCCGGCCTTGCCAATGGGTCGGCCCCTTACTCCAGCGGCACAGACCCCAAGTATGTCTCCCACAACCAGATCTCCTCCTGTCCATCTCAGACACTGATTTTTTTTTTTTTTTTTTTTTTTTTTTTTTTTTTTTTTGAGACAGATTTTCACTCTTGTTGCCCAAGCTGGAGTGCAATGGCGTGATCTCAGCTCACTGCAACCTCCACCTCCCATATTCAAGCGATTCTCCTGCCTCAGCTTCCTGAGTAGCTGAAATTACAGGCATGTGCTACCATGCCTGGCTAAGTTTGTATTTTTTGGTAGAGACGGGGTTTCTCCATGTTGGTCAGGCTGGTCTCGAACTCCCAAACTCAGGTGATCCGCTCACCTTGGCCTCCCAATGTGCTGGGATTACAGGTGTGAGCCACTGTGCCCGGTCTTACACACTGTTCTTGATTAGTTTTTCTGACCTTCTCAGAGCCTTTGGGAACTCCTCACTACCCTAGGAAAGTCTAAATTCCCTAGCCTGGACTTAAGGTTCTTCCCTAACCTGACCCCAGCCAACCTTTCTTGCCTTAATGCCCATACTATGTCCTGCCACCTCCCACCCTATGGCCGGTATTTGGGTTGGGCCACTGCCTGGAATGCCACTAGAGCAAGCCGAGAGTCACCAAGGCACCATGATTATGCAACATCCTGGAAAGATGTAGTCAATTAAGTGTTTCAACAGATCGAATCCGCTGTGCCATCCTTGTCCGACACTTGGTAGGCAGTGTGTGTAATGGTAATAGCTTTGGAGTTTTTTAGACCTGACTTCAAATCCTAGCTCTGTCACTCATTAGCCATAACGTTGGGTAAACTTTCTTTTTCTTTTTGTTTTTGTTTTGTTTTTTTTTTTCTGTAGAGACATAGTCTCATTATGCTGCCCAGCCTGGTCATGAACTCTGGGCAATCCTCTCACCCACGTCTCCCAAAGCACTGGGATTACAGGTATAAGCCACTGTGCCCAGCCAGGGCAAAACTTTTAACTTTATCAAGCCTTTATTTCCTCTTCTGTAAAATAGAGTTAAGAAGGGCTCCTTCCTCAAGGTTGTACTATTTCATGAGATGATATGTGTATGTCAGGCTGTGTCTCTCTAAGGATGGCTGCATCAATATTTTGCAACTGTTCACATGCTCTTTTTACAGTATGATGGACATTCCTCTCATTGACAGATGGGGCATAGGTCCCTTCCCCTTAAATCTAAGGAGTTTGTGATTATTTGACCAATAGGATGTGTAGAAAGTAATGCTATGTGACTTTTGAGACTCGGTCATCAAAAGGATACAGCTGCTACCTGGCTCTCACTCTCCATACTAGCCCTTGGAATCCAGCCACCATGTTGTGAGGAAGCCCAATCTAGCCAAAGCAGATGTGGGATAAGCCTTCATGGAGAGGAACTGAGGTCCTCAGATGATAGCCAGCATCAATGCTGGACATGTGAACAAACATTTGAGCCCTGAGAGGACTTCAGCCCCATCATTTAGCCCCAGACTGAGCCTCAGCTGAGGCCTCAGTCATCGTAGAATAGAGTCAAGCTGCCTTTGCTATTCTCTGTCCAGATTCTAGAGTCACAGGACCTGTGAACATGATAAATGATTGCAGCATACCATTATGTTTCAGGGTAATTTGTTACATAGCCATAGAAACTAGAAGAGTATATAAAAGTGTTAAAAATTGTATCTAATATTTGTAGTGTTAAAATATTGGAAGCCTACACATTTTTCACAGTTTAGTTTAAACATCACCTCCTCAATGAAGATTACCCCAAACCATTCAAATAGAATTTAAAAACAGAGCAACTGAGCACTTACCCTACCCCAAATTTCTTTCTAGGTAGATTTTCCATGCATTATCTCATTTAATCCTTACAATAATATGACAAGCTCAATTTAAATAAATATACATTTTTAGTTGTTTATTAATTTCCATTACTTGGCTCTGTCTATAAAAAAATTACATCAATGAATCACATTGATTTCAGTTCTTAAAATAATTTTATCCACTTAAAAAAACTTTTCACAGAACTCAGAAGATATATCTGAACAATTTAAAGCAATTTTATGGTAATAGTGTTTCTTTCTCCTCTCTAGTTTTATTAGCTCCATTTCGCCGGTGAGGAAATGAAGGCTCATGGAGATGGAGTGGCTTATGCAACCGAGCACTGAGGGCCAGGCCCACCCCACATTCACCCTGGCCCTCCCCGTGCCATCTTCCCTGCCTCCTTCCTGAGTCATGTCCTGCATTGCAATCCTGCATGCACATTCTTTATCTCTTGTATAGATGCTAAGCCTTGAGAGGCAGTCACATTCAGA